ATCATTAAAATGTCTCCAAGAGATAAGCAACAAAAATGTATATGAATCTACTTTATTGTCTTTTTTCTGATGTTTTGAATCATATTGTTCTCTTTTTACTCATTTTTTTCAATATCATAAGATAATTGTAAACTATTGTATCGTATATTTTCTATATTTGTGTGAATTAGAGATATTTTCACAGTAATTATTAGTATCTTATTTAAGTACTCCGTCGTCATGAATTCACTTTTTAAAAAATTGTATAAAACATAGTGAAATTTACTGAATATGTCGATGAGAACGAATGACAATAAAATTATAAAATGAATTCAGAAAACAACCCAAAGTTCGTGGGAGTTATATTTATTTTTTATATTGCTTACAATTCTGATATCCGTGTATTTATGTTCCATGTATCGGATGGTAAGTATATCGTGTTTTTTCCTCTAGTATCATTCATCACGACGGATATGTATGATTAGTCGGTTTTTATCGATTAAATATTTTTCGGCAGTACGTATCATGCACTGATGAAACAAATCAAGAAAAAAATTTTAATGAAATCTGTGGTATAGCGCCATACATGAACAAAAACAAAATATTGCTTAATGTGCAGTGCCAGCGCGAATACAGATAATTAGAAGAAAATCTGAATAATTAAATCGGAAGTATTGGTGATTTTACTAACAGGGCAAAGAAGCGTAGTTCAGAGTTGTTTGAAGATCAATGCTTCCTGCGTATGGCATCCGTCCGTTTCACTGTATGCTTGGAGATTGATGCGAGATATCTTTCAAAAAATACTTATCTTCGAAATTTGAGGTTATTAATAGTTTCACGAAGCCCCTCACCTCGTTACGTGTCAGCAGACTCAATTTCAAAATAAATGAAATTAGAAACTCAATTTCGATCCCTCTTAATTGTCATTTTTGTCGTCAATTTTGTATGTGTTGAACATTCCAAAATTTTAAAACATTTAAGTAACTGCTTTTATACTTCATTAGTTCAGAATTGATTGATTTTTTAGTTCCTCTTCTATTCTTATGGTTAACAAATCTCCATTGTCCAAACACATTTCAGAGAGTAGTAACATGGATCGCTCGAGTAATTTTCGCACCAATTTTGTTGGTCGTATGGTTGGAGATAAAGCAGAATGCAGTCGATTTCAGATTGAAGAGCAAATCCTGCGCGAGGATTCTGACGTTGATCTGACAAAATTGGCACAGTTCGCATTCAAACATTATGTTCCCAAGATTCATCGCGTACCAATTTGGAAATTGTTGCTGAGTTGGTGTTCGCTTGAAGTTTTTTATTTAGTTTTAGCTACCCCAAGCTTTTTTTCGTTCATTAATATGAACATACTACTCTATGTTTTTTTAAATTCATCATCTCCCATGTAGCCCATTAGCAATTGCGGAGATAAAGATAACAGAATATCTTGACGATCGGTATACTGCATGCTTCTAGTTGCCTGTCTAAAAACATTTTTACCCTGCGATAGTAATATCATTGCCAGATGCGCTAAAACTTGCAAGATATGCTGTTGATCTCGATGTTAATTTGAAATCGAACGGTTTGAATGACAATGAATGTCGATAAACTACTTCTAAAATTTGTTTAGGAGTGTCGTCAACTGCACCGGAAGTGAGAAAAGACATAATAGAACATCGAATGCAAGAAGTTAGTTCAAAATTTCACGTCACTGAAGCTAGCGGCTCATTTCATGATGTTTATTTAATTGCATTCATTGAGAATCCTCTCAGTTCTAACAAAATTTGGGATTATTATGAGCGTTTCTTTATCGAATCCTCTATCTTTTGTAGTTTTTCGTCATATCTTGGTGCTTTTTTATGCTTTGGTTCAAATATTTAAAATCACTACGAGAAATTGCTTCGCAATTATCATTTTTGAGACGATAATATTGCAACGGTGTAGAATTGTGTTTTTTTTTGTTTTAATTAAGTGCTTTCTCATGATTTTTTTGAAATAGTATACCCTTGTATTGTCTTCCTGCAAGAAAATCGGACTAACTTTCATTAGATACCTCAGTTAATCGTTTTCTAATAACATAAATTTCTTTCTCATTATCATCATTGATTCTTGCTATTGTAGGCAGAAGTCTTATTGTCATCACTTCGAGCGATGCGATTAAACACTGCGAAATCAGACAGCGGTAAAGAATTGGATGAGGAGTATCATCCAACGGATGTTGATATTGTACGAATGATTCAACTGGGAGATGAGGCTGCAATAATGCACAACAATCAAGATCCCTTGGAAGTGGACTTCCAAGCACAGTTAGCGGTGAATCTTTTCGAATTAAAATTATATAATCTTTAGAAGAATTCGGTAGTCTTTGGGTCGAAAATCTTATTTTCTTTTTGAAAAGATTTCCTACGTCTTGCTTTGTTAAATCTTTTCTTTGACTAACAGTTCACTTCAGTGCTTACAAGTGTTCAGAATAAAATCCGTAATGGAATTTATTCATTTTGTTCCTAGAAGGAATTATAAATAAAAGCTTAATTGAAGATAGCTAAACAAATGTCAATAATTTGTGAATCAAATTGGGTCGACACTTACTGGTTGACAAAGGTCTTCGATGAATTATTATCTCGTGTCTTTACTCAAAATGTCCTCACAGAGGTTAGTGACTTATGTTTTTAAGCCGTTCTGCTCAAAAAAAAAAAAAGATAATCTTCGTTACCGTTACCGATTTCGTTACCTTCTCCTCTTCTTCAATGCTAAGGGTTTATTTCATCTCTAACTTTTGATAATATAACGAAAATAAGGATGACATGACCTATTCTGCGAAAGATATCAGTCGCTTAGCTTTAGCATCTATTGTGGATCGAGTTTGTTCACTTCTTACTGTAAAAACTAAGTGGTGTAAATAATCAACACTGGTTATTAAAAAAATCGTATTATTTAGGTTGTCGGCAACCTAAAAAATCAACTTGCCAAGGCCTATGCGGAAATGAACAATGTTGATGAACTTATTTGGAAAAATATGCCTATGAATTTTTGGATACGATGTGGTGGAGCAGTTGTTTTTGATCACGAACCTTTATTAAAGTATATTTTTTTAATGTGTTATAATTTTGCGGTGTATGCGGTAGAGTGATTGTGCAATGAAATTACTGATTACTTTTCAGTCTGTGGGATAAAATATGCAGTTCTGCTGATTGTGGCATAATTAAATTATTATCGACCGTTATCTACAATTATCTTGTTGAACTGAAACCGTATTTACCAAAATTGCAGGTAGTAATATCGCTTAATTCAAAACTTAATTAGTTTATAAGACTGATGAGATTTATAAGTTTTTCTGTAATGCTAGTTATTTCGCTTAATGCTCTGGAAATTACTTTAAATACAAAAATACTCTCTAATATTTCTGTACCTTGGATTTTCATCGAACTGCGTCTCAGACTGTATTTTTCTTCAAACGGTAGTACCTAAAACCGATAATGGATTCACTGCTTTAATAACAAAGGAAATTTTGATTTTAATTAAACATAGATGACAGAGTTTGATAATTAGAGGAATTCTAAATTACTTTAATAATATGGTGCTGCATTTCAGATCAATGATTTTGCGTTGAGCAAAGGGATCTTGTCAATTAAGACTCAAAATGCTATCATAAAAAGCTCCATTGACGGTATACTTCAGTCAGGAAGGTTTTGTTCCAAAAAATATGAAATATAATAAACCATTTTCTTTTCTCTTAATTGTTCTGTTGGTTTATAAATTCTTTGGTAAACTTTTTTTGGACACGAAAAATTCTTCCAATGTTTCTCAATTTATTTACCCGTTCCTGTGTGCCACATAATAAAAGAAGCTTACACTTAATGACTAGTTATTATTTTTGGAAATAATACTAAGATTTCCGAAGCCTGTTATCACTATATAATCACTGCTGATATTTGGAATTTTTAAGTTCAACCATTTTGAAATGAATTCTAAATTGTTTAAAATTATATAAAAGTTCAAGAATTACTCCTATTTGTGCCCTTTTCGATTCTAAAATTTAACATTAGATATAATAGAAATGGAACAATATAATGAGAAATAAAATCATTTTTATAATTTATTGAAACCTTAATCAACCCACCCAGAAAACCAAGTTTTCTACAATTTTCTTTAAAAATAATTGTGAATATTACAAAAAAAAATTTTGCTAAGCACACGGTGGATTATTTTGTGCAATTTTAAGTGCTAATTCTTTTTAGCTGGTACGTAACGAATCTAAATCTAAGTCAGTTACAGATGTGGAAGCGAAATTTGTGAAATTCAGCAGCTTTCACTCTTTTTCTGTCTTTATAGTTTGGATTAAATGAACCGGCAAATCGTTGTTATATTATCAATGTTATCTGCTTTGTTTTATATCATGTTGTTTTGTTATGATTTGCTTTGAAATTTTATCCAGATAGTTTTTTATTTAGAAATTTATCGAGATTTTATGGAGGAAAATTAAAGATTTACCAAAGATACAATATAGTACAATCTGCAAAATACTCCTTTCACTTCGTGATGATTTGAAGGAGTTCTTTCTATGTATGTCAAAGTTCGCAGTTCATATTCATCGGTTCAATCCTGCTCACAAAATTCTTATCCTTATTCAGTTTCTTTATTCACCCATGTAAATGCATGTCGTCTTCCATCTGAATAACGGAACATCTGAATTTAACAAATCTAGTGATTAAATTATTCTTGGCTAACAATCTCCTTATCAGAATAAGATCTGTTGGCTTTTTTACGCCTAGTAAAGAGGGAATACCTACGTAGCATATCCAATAATCCTTCTCCTTTACTATTATAAACTCTAGATATGCCCAGATGTTTCGGGTTTGCTACTTTCGCTTTAAAGATCCACTCACAATCAGTGGCAAAATGTCGAGCGGTGCTAACTGATTACGATTATTTTCATAAATTCACATTAATTTTATCCCGCTACATCACTTGAGGGATGTGACATATTAAAGAAACGGTTAATATCGTATTGTCACCGTGCCGTCTAAATCATGTCCGTTCTCAAACGTTACTCTTCAGATTCCTTAGATTCACAATATAAAGAAAATTGTGAAGATTTTGTCTCATCATGGAATAGGTAAATCATGAACGTCAACATGGTGCAGCTAGTATTGTTTAGTTTACCTATAACTTTTTAGAATGTAAATCAATATTACCTGAATTGGTGTCTGGATGCAATTGCTACCGACAAGTGTGCTGGTGCAGAATCGATTCTAAATTAGATCTTATCAACTATTCATTTCAATATGGTTTAACATGAACCTTAAATTAATTCTAATACGACGAAGTTTACCTACATTTTTGTGTCCAAGAATTTTCAGTAACTTCAATTGTTCAATTCATATTCCTATGGATTCTAATAAATCAGTTCTTTTTTTTAAGAAGTTGGTTTTTAATAATCTTCTTTAATTCTAAGTTAACTTAGCTAATTATTATAGGCAACTCCAATGGTAATAAAAGAATATAACTGGTCCGTCCAATACGAATTTCTCTACCGACTTATTTGTATAACTATTTTTCTTTGCTTTCCATACGATATATTCTTTACATTTAACTGTGAAACCAGTTTTACCCAAATTAACTTTTTCCACTCTCGTGTTCCATGAGAGCTTTCCATGCTATTCAGTGAACTGCTTATTGTTGGCACTCATCGAGAAAGTTTAACGTTGGAATAAAGTCAACATTCGAAAGCTCTCGTCAAATAATGGATCTTATGACTTCCGGTCTCGAACTTTGGCTTCCATATTCATGTATATCATCAGCCGACGTGATCGGTTACTTCCGTCTCTAGTTAAGCTATCATCAACAGACCATTTTTCTATTCTTCAATTTAATCAATTATTAAACCACCTTCCCCCGAGACTTTGCAATCTTTAGAGCTCTTTGGATGACTTTTCCCCCAAAAATGTCAAATTTGATCAGTCCAAGTGGCAGGCGGTGTCAGGTGGCTTTTGCCAAAATTCAAGGTGTTCTGCAACTTCATCTTTTGATTACAAAACGCGATCTGTATCTTGCAACTGTTGTAGCTACAGATGCTTTTAGCTACGGTCTTGAAGTGGTTATTTCTTGTCGATTTTAAATTCTGTGATAGGGCGATTTTCCAGAATTGATCTCTGGTCGAAATAGTTGAAAAAAATTCATGATGGGAATTTAATTTCTTGATAGATCCCAAACCTTTTCTTGCAAAAACAACTGTTACTATAACTGATTTCGTTAATTCCTAGCTCTGTACCGTGGTTTCTAGTCTTTTTCTGCTGCAAAAGCTGTCTTATTAATTCATTTCGTATGTTTCCATTTCTTTAATATCTGTCACAATTTATTTTTCTTCAATTGAGAAATGTTACATTTCTCATATCCTCAAATTTTATGATGCATAAAAGTTCACATCAGTATTTATTCCCAATAATCATTTGATAAACATTAAACGCAGATATATATTAACAAGAAATTTAAACATTCGAAATTTTTCTAGATGCTTCGAAGTAACCATTGCAGACAACATAAATCATTTGCAAACTGTACACTGAAAACTATGCAAGCAACTGTTCTATTAGCGCTCCCTAAATTTTTCAATATTCATTCCCCAAAATGCAAAATGATATTTATTTTGTAATATGACTAATATATTTCTTTAACATTCATTCAGAATTATTAATGTAAATTCATTATGTTATCGAAGAATTTATTTGATATTATATTTATATTTAATAAATTTCATCTTTTCTTTTCTTTTCAATTAAAACATCTTTGTTGATATATCATGTTCTCTTCCAAAATTTATTTATATTTACATGCAGTAATCAGCGAAATTTTCTATTATATTTAAATTATATATCTATATGTATCTTAGCAAATAGTGAAATGTAAAATTCAACTTATGATTGATACGCGATACCATAAAATAATATATCATTTGGTGATGTTAAATAATGGTCAACAATGCTAAATGTTTTTATATAAATGTTGCAAAATTCATCAATGATTCCAAATGATTTCCATTCAATTGATCTTTTGCCATTACATAACATTGTTTTAACTCTTTTCATCCGCTTTTACACGAACAATTTTAATTCCTAATTTAAATAAAATTGATAAAATTGACATAAAAGCATTACATCAAACAACTGCAACATTATCATTTTCAAAAAGTTGTTTGTTTCTATCGATGTAATTATATCATATCATTAATGTTACATATCATCATATCATCAACGATAATTTATATTATTAAGAACATTTATGATTTGCAAAATTAAAAGTTAATTTTTATTTAGTTAAATTTTAAATTCTTTAAGATATTTATTTATTTATTTGATATATAGCAAAATTCCGAAGAAATATTGCCATTCTAACATAGTGAAATAATAGTGAAATAACATAGTGAAATAAAACATAGTGAAATAACATAGTGAAATAATAGTGAAATAACATAGTGAAATAAAACATAGTGAAATAACATAGTGAAATAAAAAAATTATAATAATGTTGGAAAAATTTCACAACAAAAAGTTTAAGAAAAAGAAAAATTAAAATCATAAAAGTATTTGCTTGAAAAATATTATATTTTAGTGTATTATAATAGAAAGAAACGAAATTTTGTTGAAATTCATTTTTCAAAAAAAATGTGTAAAAGTTTCGAAATTCAAAATTTTAAATTTTAAAATCTTTTTTTTTCCTCCTTTTTTTTCAACAGTAAAATTATGTAGGAAGTGTTTATTGCAAATAAGTGAAAATGATTTGATAATAAGTAAAAGAGAAAGAAATAACCGTCTTCATTCATCAATTTAATGTGCCGTCAGCGACATATATTACTCTTCCTTCACTTTAACTGTACATTTGAATAGCGCGGTACATAACGAAGAAACTCCTCACTGATGCTATCATCATTATCAGTGTTATGATCATCATGATCATGATCATCATCATCATCATCATCAACAACATCTCATCATTATAATATCATTGTTGTAAACTGTTATGATCGCTACATTATTGTGTCTATTTGCAGTAATAATTCAACAAAAAAGAGAGAGACAACAGCAAATGTGCATTTGCTAGTTTGAAGTATTGCCCTGTTCACCTACGATCAGTTTTGTCACAAATTTGCTACATGTATTGTTGTCGATCTTTATTACTTTATCATTGCCAATTACTGATATTATTGATCCTTTCTCTCTCCCTCTCTCTCTCTCCCTCCCTCTAGGCTTATCACTACTTCTTTACCCTTTCATTAGAATGAAGTGAAGTTTTGGATCAGTTCTATGGCAACAGTTTAAAAATTTCATCATCATTATGCAATAATTTAAATGCGATCACTAGTGAAAATTTTAAAATAATTTACAACTTTGAAACAAAATTTAAACTTTGATCTGATATCAAATTTTAATTTGAATTATAAAATATTATCATTATTAAAATTTCAAAATATCTTACAATTTTCGAATTTTTGCAACAAAATTTAAATTCGAATTTGACAGTAAAATTTTAATTTGTACTAATAAAATATTGCTATTACTTAAAAATTTTAAATAATTTACAACTTTTGAAGATTGAGATAAAATTTAAATTTGAATTTGATACTAAAATTTTAATTTATACTAATACATATTTCAATGTATTCATATAATTTCTTCATATTTCATACCTCATCTCTCTCTCTTTCTCTATCAAAATATGGCTTATAAAAAAAATCAAGAAAATCCAAAATTGATTTACTACTTTTATATTACCTGAAATTAATAATACTTTTATCTATTACTTGAAATTAATTAATGTTTAATAATTATTATAAAATAATTGTTTCGTAGTAATTCGGAAATTTTAAATGCAACTTAATTTATTCAAAAATTTATCATTGACACAAGCAAGCACTCATAAAATCGTTGCATATAACAATGCAAATAGCTAATTCAATCAATCTTAAAACTCTATCTTAAAAGCTCATGCAATATTTCAATATTGTTAAATGATAAATGGAAAATATTTTAATGCTATTTCTAAATTTCTTTTCTTCTCATTTTCATTCTTTTCTCTCTTTTTCCTCAATTTTCTATTTATTTTCTATTTCTGTAAATTTTTGAATGATTTAATTAACAATGATATTTGTTACTTTTCTTTAATTTTTATCAAAAATTATAAGTTAAAAATTTTTTTAAAAAAATGTTTGTTATATTTAACTTAAAATGTTATTTAAGGTTAAATATGAAAGAATAGAAAATTTTTAAATATAATATAATAGCATTATTAATTAATGAATATTTAAATCAATTGATAATAATATTGTTATATCATCCTAAATGATATTGCAATAATAAATGATAGCGATAAGAAGAGAGGAAAAGAAAAAAGTGTTAATTGAAAATTTGATGAAATAATTTCAAATTTAGGAAAATGTTGCTGATCTTTTATCTTATCATAATTTGTTATATCTAATATTAGAATAGTTATTAAATGAAAAATTTAAGGAATGGATTGGAATGGAATAATTTTTTTTTTGTTACTTACTATGTTACTTTGATTTATGATCTAAATCCGATGTTTATTTATGATCTAAATCCATTGTTGATTTATGATCTATAAAAATGAATTCGATGAATTGGTTGTAAAGCATAAATTGTCATGCTTTTTTAGAAATGAAAATGGCAAACACTTTGGAATGTGTAGTTGTGTATCATTGCTATCCTGTTTTTACTGTTAAATTTTAGTATGAAAAGGAGGAAATTTTATTTTTCCACTAATTTTGTTGTATTTTTATATTTTCATAGTTGTTTATTTCTTATTGTAAATAGTAGAAAATTTTGAGAAATTTTTTTATTTTTTAAAAGTTTAATTTTTACAACAACAAATTTCATTGAATAATTTCTAAATGATTTTTTTTCCTTTTGTTTTTGTTTTAATTAATTAATTTATTTTTTCTATTAAAAAAAAAATATTAAACGGTAAAAAAATTTTTTTCAAATTTAATTTTAATCATTTCATTTAAAAAATTTTAGATTCATTATGAAATTTCTCTTAGCATTATTTTGGTTGAAATTCTGAATGATAAATTTATTTCGATAATTTGAAATTTGGATAAAATTTAATAATATCATTTGATAAAAGCGATTAGCTATTTTGATGGATTATTTAACTTAGAGAATGAGTGATGGAAAGTTAAATTTTAGTATTTAATACTTTGAGCTTCTGGATTATGTACGAAAAATAAGAGTATTCTATGTTTTCTTAATCCTATGATAAAACAAACTACTAATGATTTATTTTTAGTGTCGAAAATTAATGAGCGTGGATAATTTAAGAATGCCACTATCAGAAGGTACTAAAACACCACAAATATACAAATTAGAAATCAGAGATTCGAATTATGATAAAGTAAAGTTGTTTTTTTTCTCCATTCAAATTTTCCTATTTTATTTGTTTTATTCAATCGTTCTCTAACTTATTTACAAATTCTCGAATTAATTAAATCCTCTCCTCTAAGACATAAATTTCGCTTCGTAATGTTCAATCTAATAGCTCTCCTCAAAACACGCCAAAAACACTTATCTTTCATCTATTAGCTGATATAAGATATATATATATTTATGAATAACTAATTCTAGAAATCAAATTATTGATAGTCTAAGTAATTCTGATAAACATGAGAAAATTTTACATCAATAAAATGATTGATAAAAGCTTGGATTTTAATAAAGCATATATCATACTTAAGTTTGATTTCTTTACAATTATAGTTTGTACATGGTCATTCTCTCAGTTTTTAATTAATTTAATTATTAATTAGTTGAAACATTATTAGTAAATTTAAAAAAATTAACAAAAAAAATAGGCTCAAGGTAATCATATTCTTCATCTAGGATGAAAATGAAACAAAGGCATATAAAACGACTGCACGCTCAATTGGGCTTACAAAAAATGAATTGGAACAATATAGTAATGATCCATTCTGGAAGGTAGTTAGGTAAATTTTAAATTTAAATTTAATTTAAATGTGATTAAAAAAATCAATTGCAATTTTGTTGAAAAATTGTTGAAAATTTGTTGAAATTCAATTCTTCATATTTTTGTTTATTTTTTACCTTTACTTTTCTCACGAAACAAAAAAAGCATTTATTACAGGAATGCAATGTTTGTGCTTTTTTGGGTGGCATGGGTTTTGATGTTTCTAGCTGCTGTACTAATCGTTGTATTTAGTCCAAAATGTGAAGCTGAAAAAAAACCTGAATGGTGGCGTAGGCATGTCAGTTATCAGGTAACTTTATCATTTCCATATTTTATTTTGCTGTCAATTAAAATACACATATATGAAGTTCAGAGAAAATCAAACATACACTCCAAGAATGCCAAAAATAAAATTTAATTTTCAATTTAATTTAATTTAATTTTCCTGCCATTGTTTTAAAATTATTTTTTGTATTAAAAAAAAATGTTTTATAAATAATAGATTGGAAAAAGTGAGAATGAAAATATATTATTATAGTAATTTATATTTCAACATTTAATATTTGTTTATGTGTGTAACAGCAATAATATGTGACAACTGTATCGAATGAAATGTATTTTCAGATATTTACACCATCTTTTCGTGATTCCAACAATGATGGAATTGGTGATTTCAATGGAATTCGAGAAAAACTTAATGATTTACGAAAGATTGGAATAAGAACAATTTGGGTAACACCTGTAATTGCTATTCAAAAGGTTGGTTGATATATGCTTTGTAAAAAAATATGATTTGACAAATTAGAATAAATGGATAAAACTCAAAAAAGTGCCGTTTATAGTTGATTGATTATAAAAAATAATTCAGGATGATTTCATTCCTCTCGATGTGATTGATTTTACAAATGTTGATGAACGTTTCGGTACAAAAGATGATTTAAAATCATTGATAGATGCAACACATGAACTAGAAATGCATTTTACAATGGATTTACCCGTATCAACGACATCTGTATCACATAAATGGTTTGAATTTCTTATCTTACTTCATTAAAGTGATATCTTTTGATAGCATTTGTACCAATGAAAAAAGAACCATAATAACTTTCACTTTAAGCCAAAATCAAAAATTATGTTAAAATCTCATAGGCTAATGAATGAATATATTCAATTTCAGGTTTAAATCAGCAAAAGAGGGTGGTGATTACGTCGATTATTACGTTTGGAAAAAGGCATTAGATGTAAAAGATGATTTAAATTACGTTGCTGAAGAGGGTAATGAGAATGCTTATTTGACTTATGATGGAAAAGGTCCAGTACTAAATTGGAATAATCCTGCCGTACAGGATAGTATGCTTGAGGTTGCAAAAAATTTCGTTGATATGGGAGTTGATGGTTTTCATGTGGAACATATTAGTCAATTAATCAGACACTTGCCGAAATCAGAGGTATCATTAAGTCTATAATACTATGAGAAGAAATCATAAATTCTTTTAAATATTTAAAATTTCAAAATTTTATCCACCACATTTATATTATTAAATTTTCATTCATTATGAAATTATTGTGATGATCTCAAATAATAAATCTTACTTCGTATTTCAAATATACTACATTCTAAATAAGGTCCTATAAAATGCTACCTTTCCTATATCTCTATCGCTATGAATAATGCAATTTTTATGGAATGAGAATAAATTTCATCTTTGCTTACTTTTATGCAAACATAAGTTTAAGGGACATGCTGCATTGTTGAAGATCAATGATTTCATTGGAAGCCTACAGCATTATGCAAGTAGTAATGAAACACTCAATAGTCGAGAGATTATTGTATTTTCATCTTTGGATGATTTATCCAACCTACAAGATGCTGATATTCTCACTTTGTCAAACCTTACTTATATCATCGATGATTCGGTCACCAAACTAAACAATGCCAGTTTCTAATAAAATTATCAATTTTTTGAAAATAAAAGTTGAAGCTTAACATATACTTTCTTGACAGTTTTTTTGGATAATAAGAAATGAGGCACTTAAATTAAATCTTCAAATTTATTAAATTATTCCTTCTTCAGGGAACATGTCCAAGTGGAATAGCGCTATGTTTACATTCTACACTTATCACATCTTTCGAACGATTCAATACCAGACCACTCCCATACGCATGGCAATTCATGAATTATCACGTTTCACGTCTTAGTACAAGATTTGATAAAGCAACAGCAACATTACTATCTTTTGTACAGCTTTCATTGCCAGGTATTGTTGAACTGTATTATGGACAAGAATTAGATCTTGAAGATGGTACTGATTCAACAAACAAATTTACTGGTTTAATGCAGTGGAATAGCAGCGAATATGGTGGTTTCACAGCTGGCAGCCAGAAACCATTCTTCTCTAATACTCTTAACTATAAAGAAGATAATTTCGAGGTAAGAATACTCTGTCAATATTATATTAATGCAATTAATACATAAATTTTGCAATTCATCGATCATTCTTCCGTGTAAAACTGGTGGTTGGGAATAGAATGACCCGATCTTGACCTATTTATGTAGGTCATGTTTTTAGTAAAGGCTTTTCTATTCTCTTTTATTTAAGAATTCCATTGTTATAAGTTAAGTACACAAATAAAACAAAATAAAATAAAAATACCTGTATACTGAGTTACCGTTTTTTTGTTAAATAAAATTAATTTACTATAGAATGCTAATTCTTATAATATATTAAAAGATCAAAACAGTTGCAAACTTCCACTTTATTGATTGATGTCAGGGATTTCATATATCAAAATTTAATTTCATAATTTCCATCATTGTAATAACAATCCAATTTATAGGCTCAATATGGTAGCTATCGTTCACCACTGAAAACAGTGAAAGCAGTAGCAAAAATGCATCAACGTGAATATAATTTTGCACTTGGTGAGACACAATTAGCACCGCTTACTCAAGATGTCATCTTATTTAGTCGATTCTATCAAAATGAGAATGGTACCAGTGGGGCGGTATGTTTTTTTTTAATTCATTAAGATTGATGAAATATCTAAATAAAACATGTAGTAAATTGCTTAAACTCTATGATGTATTATATGATTAAGCTTTGCATACTTTCTAGGCTTACCTGATTGGCGCAAACTTTGGAATATCCAATGTTGAAGTAAATGGAACAACAGTATTACCGGACGGTTATAGGCTACATAAAGCGGAAGTAGCTATTGTTACTCCAAATGTTGACAAATACTTAGCTAGGGATAAAATATCATTGTATGATAAAATTGTTCTTGGTCCTAAACAGGGAATTATTATCAAAGTTTAATGTTAACGCTTATTTTCTGGAAAGCACCTATAACAGTGTGTTTTCTTATAAGTAATTCCTACTTAAGCTACTTTTAATATCTATTATAACCGACTAATCAATACCATGCATGGAAGCTTAATCTTGCAGCTCATAAAAGCTCAACCTCGTTTCACATTTCAAATATTATAACGTATACGATTCAATAGAAACTTCTCCTCGTTGCCGTTTCTCTCACATATGATTTATATGAAGCAATATTATTGTTATAGATAATAAAATGTATTTTGCTATAAAATCAAATGTAATACATGTACCAGATAATGTGACATTTGTTTGGATAATGTCTGCATCAGTGCAGTTGAAACACATGAATTTTATTAAAATTTTGATAAGGAATTACATAACATGAAATAATATTGAGCTTGAAGACAAAGGAATGTCCATATTACTGTGAAATGACTATAATAACCTCATCAGTAACGTTAGCAAACAAAATGACTGCCTTTGATAGCATTCACCGTTTTGATTAGTTTTCCACTGAACTGAATAAACTAAAAAATATGCGGAATAAGTGTTAAAATCAATGTATTCTCAGCACCATAACCTGGTACTTTGCTTTTCATAGCTTGAAAAAGTTCAAACCAACATAATTTTTGCTTCCATAACTTAGCCCATACGTTCCTACAATGAGTTCCATGAGGCACTTGAATAACTGTAACGTGAAAAAGCATTCAAAACATATAAGAATATATGAAACCGAAGGAATTTTGATAAAATGTTGTCCTGTGGACCAATATACAAAGTAAACAAAATAAAACTTGAGAGCTAAGAAAAACTAATTATTAAGAAGACAATTCAATGTTGAGAAATTAATCAATCCTCTATAGCATTATCTTCTTAGAGTGGAAGGTGTAAAAAGATTTGATAATTAAGGTGAACGTTCAGTAGATTCTCCTCATGCTATTTTCAGGACAATCGTAACAATATCATTTCTAAGCAAGTCGTCCGCAAGTCAAAGAAACCTCAGTATCTTCCTCCCTTCAAAAAAATTTACACCATTATTTAATTTGCTATTAAAGTTAATGACGTATTTACATAAGATGGTGAAATACAATCAATAAAAAATCACAGAATTAGAAGCACAAAGATTTTAAGTACACAGTTTCAAAAGATGACTGAGCTCGATCATTTTATAGCAAATTGTATGATGTATTTTCATTTACATAATATATTTTATTTAATTTAAATTCCCAAATGCTTGAGCGATGAAAATATTTGTGAAGCATATGTCAATGTTGAACCGTAAAAAAATTTTGCCTTGCTAACAGTTAAAAAAAAGTGATGTGTTTATAACAAAAACAGCATTTGATGCAGTACTGTGGTACAGGAGAACACTAAACAAAAACTCACACTGCTAACTTTTTACAATAACTTCAAAAAACATCAGTGAAAAGTGACAATTACGGATCGCCATGATCCTGTTGTGTTGAGATTTTAGGAGCCACTGGTACAGTACATTCACCAGATTCTTCTTGATAATCACACGTAGTTACAGAGTTGATATACAACTGAAAAAAATCAGGCAGGTAAACGAAAAACTATGGATTTCGTATGGATTTTAGTATGGATTTTTTTAGAAAAAGTATGGATTTTTTAGAAGTGAAAAAAATCATATTTAATTTCAGATTTATTACATCAGATAACTCAAATACTTTTTAATTGAAAGTTACTTTCCAATATAAAACCAGACTTTTAAAGTGATATCTGTTTGATGGGCAATAAAGCGAATAAATGGACGGAGATTTCCACGATTTGCGGCATTGAGAGTGTCATAATAATCAGAACGGGCCTCCACTGGTATTATCACAGGAGGGAAACCGCTCTGCATCAAAATCAAGTTCATCAACAATCGTGCGGTACGTCCGTTACCATCAATGAATGGATGTATCGAAACCTGTTAAAAAAGAATTCTTCCAGCCTTAAAGGAAAGTATATAATAAATTTAGAAGAATACAACTGATAACATGAAAAAACAGAAAATACAGGTGGTATCGATCTTAGATTTAAATCATTTGCGACTCTTTCTAAGATCTCCAAACTTCCGCATCAAACAAACAGTTTGCAAATTCAAGATATTTGGAAAATGTATCATAGGCAAACCAGCTTGTAATGAGCAATAGCTGCACGTTCTATGGGATCCAATAACAAGCTATCATCTTCATTCAACCATTTTACCATTCCTTCCATTTCTTCAGGTATCATGTTTGCCGAAATGGGAGTGAAACTTCCCACAAATACCTGAAGAGAACAAATAAACACCACAACGTTAAATGGTCAGTGAAAGTAAGCCTCCATAAAGAAAAAACGAAGAAAAAAAATGAAATTGTTAAGTGCAGCTATTCCAAACTTGCCTGTTTCACACCATTCGTCAATGACATAACAATTCCACGTGTTTTCAATAATTCACCCAGTCTTTTAAAGCCATTCGCGTGTATGTAATGTAATAATACTTGATCCTGCAAACTCCCTCACAGCATCCACTATCATATAAAATACCCACCTGAGTTTTGCGAAATACACCTGCTGCATCCGGATCGACAAAACCAAGAACACGGCTATGAATGTCCAGGATGTCCTACAATAAATGACTCAGATGAAGAGATACAAATAACAATATTTTAGCATGTTGAAATAATTGTAAAAAAAACAGAGTTAAGAAAAATCTAAGAATCGCACGAATGATTGTTGTTATCGGACCTGAAGAGTAAAATACGACACATATGCAACGCTTTGGTTTATGAATCTCAGTGCAGCGTCCATTCCCAAAATCTCGTTATGTTCCATAATACTTTTTCCAGCCACTGCCATCCTTGTTTCTATTATGGACCTAAACTACACTAAATTAGCAGATTAAATTGACGGATTCTTTCATTGGTATTTCTCTTACGTTAATGTGAAATGGACTTAAACAAGATCTTACCTTGTCTGACCAAGAGACATGGTGTTGCCTTCAATTGCTACAGTATGATAAATATGCAAAAAATAAGATTCTCTCATTGCCCTTCGCAAAGCAGTGTTAGTCTTTGGTATTCGTAAAAAATATGAACGCTTCTCGTGAAGTTTCTTCAACATTTCTTTGTCAATTTCTTCCACTATAGGTAAAGTTCTTGCTCGTCTTCTACAAATATTATTCATTTAGCGAAACAAGCTGATGTATAAACTTCCTTTTTATTTTACTTGACATAACGTTAAATTAACATTCTTCTCAGCCATAATAATGTTATCCATTATTAATTACTTTTCTTATTATAACATAATGATAGGAAAGTGATGTCTTTTTTTTCAAGATATTAATGTACGACACAAAAATGCTCACACTAACGCTTCAGGATGATGCGGATTATAGCTCAGCGCCCGTGAATATAACTCTTCCGCTTGTACCAGATTTTTCCGTCCCATTTCAACAACTAGACCGTATTCGGTTAAGATATCTGGATGATGAGGAGCCAATGCAAGCGCATGCTGAATAATGAGTTCCGCCTATAAAGTAATTAATTTGTAAAGTCTCACTTTACACATCTATCACTGATACTCTGAATTTTTTGAGTCGTCTGCAAAAAAATATGCATTAAAGAATATATAGAACAAATTATCAGCCCATGTATGCATGTCCCATGTATCAAATCTGCTAAGTCTTTATCGGTCAGGATCTAGGCCATTCAGTACTGCCTCTTGGACTACCATATGGCAAGCTCCCGGTGAGAGAATTTTTGAATTATACCTTCTCCATATTTCCTTGTGTCCTCGACTGAACTGCAGCTTTTAAAGCTGCAAATGCTTCCTTTTCGGTCTCCCAACCCCATTGAACAACGCTTGATTGAGTCGTAGGAGCCACTGCTCTCTCGATCTCTTTAAAACCATCTCTGAAGTACCACGGCTCCACAGATAACGGGTCAACAAAATAACCCAATTCGGTTGTGCTAAAAACAACGCAGTTTCGAGAATTTTTTAACAAATTAGCGACAACAAAATGAAAACACTACACGATAATTTCAGCTATATTAAATTTTCTGCTACAATATCAATTTTCCCAAATCTATAATTGTATTCTAGTACATATAAATCCATACATTGCATTACAGTTGTTACAAAAACTTTCAGTTGTTTTCTTCGACAGCCGACTGGCAAAGAACTGTATCACTAACCCGACGTAACGTTTACGAGTAAAATGGGTTGAACAGTAATCGGTTTGTTTAATAAACTCGGATATGAATTGTAGATTACAAATTAAATATTGTGAAGCCACAACTCGTTGCACAAGAATCGATAACGTCTAAAAATAATTGGTATCTTTTTTCATGAAATATCCCTCGAAATCTTTAAAACTATGTTAGACCTTATATGCACAAATAATCAACATACTAACATTTTGAAATTATTAACTAATATTTCATTTGGAATCGAACTCGGACACAGAACAAGTAAAAAGATCGCTTAACGCACCTGTATGCATATTGATACAACAATAGATAAAGCTACAACTCGCACCCATGGTCGTGCAAAAATATTGGTGCCAGATGACATTTCAGACATTGCTAGCATTTATAGGTTGAGCACCTGCAATGAGGAGTCTTCACTTCATTTTCCATTAACGACAGTGAGATAAGAAAAAAACAAAAGAGATCATGAAGAGTAATGAAGGAAAAATAGCGAGGAAAGAAAGAAAGGAGTAGGGATGCTTCAATCAAAATAAATATATATAATCTGACCGTCAATATGATCGTTAGATTAACTATATCGACCACTAAAGTTACCATCTAACTGGTGATTTTTTTTTCAAGTGTTATAACATTCTGCATTTCTACGCATTCTTATAGTGTTCTTTCTCACACATGTCGACGTCAATTCTAACTGTCGCACTTGACAGCTTTGAAGATAGTCAAATCATCAAATGTTTTAAATCGAAATTTGTGAATTTAAAAATTTTCCCAGTGATTTTCTCGAATCAGGCTAAAAGCTATAACCTTGCTTACCTTATTATAATAGTATGATGTGTGATTATAATGCAAAATTGTAAACACTCAGAGAGATGACCATTTGATGGTATCCTCAAAATTTCCATTTTCCCTGGAAGTTTTAAAGTTAATTTTAAGACAATAAGTCGAGAATTCATACTGTACGCCTTACAATAATATGTACGTTGAAATTTATTAACCAACCATTCTTAACGAAACATACAAAATGAAATTGCAAATAAGACGTGATACTATGCGGTAACTATTTTTATATCTAATTGCTTTGTAGTCTCCCCAAATGATGTAATATTTTCTCATAAAATGCTCAATGTATAGCGAAAGGATATGTTATTTCTACTAGGTTAGGAGTTATATAGCTAACAGAATTTGTTTTCCCTCTCTCTCTCTCTCTCTCCTTCATAACAAATCATGGAAAAGAAAGAGAAAGAGAAGTTGGAGATAGTATGGGTATTATAACGGGTTACAGCAGGAATTTCTATTATTCATAACGTTTGTCCGTGTATGTAATGCGTATGTTTACGTGACTATTTGCAAATGTGTACGTGCATTTGCAAACATTGCATGCATATTTATATATATCTGTAATAGAAATCTCATTTATATGGGGTAAAGAGACACTAGCAATATGTTTGATGGACAGATTACTGAGGAGTGGAAGGAGGGGAATAATAACACATACGCTTATTCGTTTGATTACAAACTACTTTTAGTACACACACACACACACACACGCACACACACACACACGCACACACACACACACGCACACACACACACACACACATACGTACATACATACATCCATGTATACATAGGGACACATGTGTATGTGTCATACGGACGGAGATACAGAGAACAGTTCCAGGCAAGGAGGGTGTCATCCGAAAGTTTGTAAATTTTGTCATTCATCGTTTTCTCTTTCTTAGTTTCGACAATGTGAAATGTGTATTTGTATTTGCATTTGCGTATATTTTTGTATAGAATTGCATGTATAGATGATAGGTATTATATATGTGTATTTATCTTGTGCTAATTATACTTCATATTATAATAATGCGTAGAAGAGGGAAAAAAGTTAACGGAATGATCTGCAGAAGGAAATAAAAGTTGGTGTTAAGGTGCGAACCTGAGAGGATTGACACTGGAGGAAAGGGTTGCATACCTCGGAGAGAGCGGAAGTATTGAAAGAGATGGCATTTAGTGGATATATACCGACATTCAAGGAACGACACTCATTTGGTATGTCGTTCTGGTTTCATATGTACAAGAATTATTTTATTTTAATGGGGAGTGTGAATTGATATGAGAGATATGATATTGATTTCGTTTACTACAAATTAGAAATAAATTATTGGGATTAGGTGATATTCGCACCTTTAATTTCTATTTATCATTTCTGTGGAATTTACCTATTATTGTGAAAAGGTTTTTAGTTTGCCGTGTTGGGATTTTTAGTTGGAATTCGTTGGAATTGAATTTAAGTTGGAATTGAGATAAGTTGAAATTTGCCGTGTTAACAAAAGTAAACAAAGGATGTTTACCATTATTAACTCTTATAATATGTTGGGACCTCTGCCACAATTTCCACTTTTTATCAAAATTTTGATGAATGACATAAATGATAGCTTTGATATGAGAATACATGAAATATCCGAATGTGGAAAATGTTGCAATGATTCCCTCACTTAAAATATTATCTCACTACTGTTTTCAACGAAACATAGGAAATGGTTTTAGATCTACGTCTAGGACAACTTATATTCATACAATGTGTGTGATACTGGAATGAGTCCGCAAAAAAATTTTATCTTCCCGAATCGAATTTTTAAGGAAGAATAAATGATTAGGAGTAAAAATTCCAGTTGCATATTTTTCACCTGTCAAAGCTTACTGGACAGAATTGTGCGTGGAAAAATTGTAAAAAAAATATATATTTACTAATGTAAATACTCCGGCTTCATACCATATTAATGCATACATAACATTATCCAACGTATATTTGTTTAGTAAGATTGGAAGTTTTTGCATGAACTAAGACTTAAATCTCTATGTTATAGGTGATGTGTAAAAATTGGGAAAATTGAGGTAAATTGTGTTAGTGAGTGGCGTACATCCACTTTGTTTTGCAATGTTTTATTTTTCTGTCTAACAAAGAGACTGTATTTATTTGTTCAGACGGTTAGGATGCAAAATACACTTATTCATTTCGATTTAGTTATTCTAAATCTCTGAATTAATAAAATATGATTAAGTACTTCTTTATAGTTGTGTCACTGAACAAAGGTCGAACTGTTTTTGTCATTTCAGCAGCACGTGCAAAAGATGCAGCAGAAGCACGACAGCAGCAACAAAACAAGATTCCCGTTGTGATTGAGCGATTTGAAGGGGAGAAGTACTTGCCACTTTTGGATCGGTGCAAATTTCTAGTGCCAGATCACATAACAATTGCCGAATTAATGCAGATTGTGCGAAGGTTTCTTGTTTTATTTTGCACGATTATCTGTGTTTCGGTCCTTCTTGCTACGGACTGTCCGCAGAAAACTCGTACATTGTTGATAATGAAACATTAGTAACGAGTGCCAAATCCGTCATCGTATGCGCTTCTTACGTTACCTTTCTTAATGCCTACTGTTTGGTATGAGAACAAAAGAACAAAAGAACTTCTCAGTGCTCTAGTATGTACACTGTTAGAAAGTAAAATGAAGCATAGCACTGCTGACTGTCATTTCTCGTAAGGTGCAAGCATCAAGCGTGTTTATTGTTTTGTGAACATTTCTTAAATTTAAAATAGAATGGAGAAAATAAGTCTTTTTTTTCAGGCGGCTACAGCTTCATCCGGATCAAACTTTCTTCCTCTTAGTCAATGAGAAATCGATAGTATCAAACAGTATGAATATGTACCAGCTATATCAGCAAGAAGCAGACCAGGATGGCTTTTTGTACATGGTTTATACCAGCCAACCGGCGTTTGGTAGCATCAAGTGAGCGCAAACATCTGCCCATTCGTTACCTCTTCAAAATTTTTGAATTTTTTCCGCTTGATTTCATTTTGATACTCAACAAAAGTTAATACGTCCGTAACGCTAAACTTAGTCCTGTACAAAAAAAATACTCAATAAAAATATTGTCATCAACAATTTTTATGTACTAAAACATATGTTGCTTTTTTATTCTTTTGTAACATAATTTCCTTCTTTCTATATGCAAAATTTGGTTTGTTTTGGCTTCTTTACAACTATGTTGATACTGTTTGCATTAGTCTGTAAATCAAACAATCTCTGTATAAAATTATCCTTTTTTTTGTTCCGTAAGGTGTTCTAGATATTGCCGACAAATCAGAAGACTTTTCTGTTTTTAGACGAATTATTATTAGATCTATAGTTCACATTCATACGTATAAGAGAGAATCATGACAGCAAGTTTGAATGGTGCTTGAGTTAATAGTTGTCTATAATGTTTCTCATTTTTACAGTACCTGAAAACATCGCATGGATCATCTGGAAATGATAGACAGAAGCTAAAAAGTAGTACCGACGAATTTTCATTTATAATATTGGAATGAGGAAACTAGAACAATGAGATCAAAGGAGAGGGAGACAAGAGGTAATCGAAATTTTAGGATCTATAGCTCACAAACTGGTAAAGGACTGAAGCAGAGTGTCTAGTTGATGTTATTTCCGTATTCGGTTAACTATTTCTTAACATGATATGAGTTGTTGAGAGCTATTTTTGACTTCCCGAAAATAGAACATGCATTATTGGAGTAAATTGTAAACGGCATTTGGGTTGAGCATTTCATGCACTGGAAAACGCATCGGTATATACTCATCTACATGAAAAGATAAACATTAACTGATACGACGTTATTACACGTCTCTAATGGCAAACAGTAATTTCGAACAATCAAAGCTTGGTTTTTGCACTAAAGACAAAGAAAACTGCTACATCTACATGTATGGATAATGCTTTCAATAGTATTACAGAGGTCATATGCGTACCCCAATATCCTACGAAATAAGTTGTGCATCCTATGAAGTAAGTACAACATCAGTAGTAGTAGTAATGGCGAGACATGGAGTAGTGGCCATTGGTGACCAGTTTTGACATAATCTAGTAAAGCTAGTTTGTATTTGTCTATTTGGTGAAAAAGAGGAATGACCAAAAGCAACATCAGTTTAGTCCATCATATGTTGTCCATCGACAAGAGTGAAACGAGCACTCATTCCCTGCTCTCCCTCTCTTCCAACCAAAATTGAGATCTCACGGCAAACTATATTCAATTCATCATCATTACTCTTTTAATTCATCTATTCCTTATTAGATTATTCGAAATTACTGCTAACAAAATTTTCTGATCATCATCGATCTCTTATTATATTGTTCAGAGAGAAAAGAAACATTTTTTATTGCTGAAACTAACAATCATCTCATCGGTGTTGTTGTTTAATAATTACTGGTTAACAATTATCATGCTTAGCATATTTCTCTCTCTTTCCTTGTTTTATCAATTACCCGACCGCCATATTGCACTGTCAGTGTTAACGAATGATTTGATAAGGAATTACATTGAAGCTGACCGACAGAAAGTATTATTTGATGGTATGGGAGTTTAGAAATTCAAAATAACAAGAAAAAAAATGAAAATTAAATTAAATTATATTATCATTAATTAACTGAACCTGAGGAAGATATAAAAAAATTTCAAAAAAATGTTCAAATAATTCTTATAGCATTACTAATTACAATATATCCTAGTTTAGGTCTAAAGTGATATTTTCTTTCGTCCTACTATTACTTATCATCCATAATCCTACTATATTTTGCACTGAAGATAGTTAAACTTCAGATTTGGGACAAAAGTATCTTCAACCACAGGATTTCACTCTCGCTGAAATTACCCCAGGTAACAGTTTTCTTTATTAAATAAAATTCAGCTGAAAAAAAATTTAATAAGCTATTTTTTAAAACTTGAAAAAACACATTCATTTATTACTACCAGCTTCTTTTTTTTATAATCAAAGCTTACATATAATTTTCCACTTCTGTCGTACTAAATTTTGCTCTATAGCTTATTTCATATAAGATTAAGTCAATTGAAGCGTACGTATATCGATCTTACGGGTATATAATATTACCTATAATTCCTCAAATAACTTCGCACTAATGACATGTTTGTAATATGTTGTAGAATGTAATTTATTTCAATCATGCTTAATTTCCTAGGAGAAAATCGTAGTTGATATCTTTGTATTCTTGATATCTGCTATGATTTTCTCGTAATCCACGTAATTTTATTATCAAAACTTACACATAATTTTCCACTTGCATCATAATTTCCTAGCCTTATACAATGTAATGCATTTCGAAAATTTTCATTCATTATTCCTTGGATTTTTCTATTTAGACTTTTACTGGCATATTTTCATATCGATAGCTAATTAAACCAATTAAGCGCTTCAAAGAAAGATGATCCTTTGCATCCTTCATCTTTGCACTATAACATTTGTAATTGGAATGAGATTTTGCTGATAAGATCAAACTGGCAAATATTCCTTACTTTTTCATTGCATTATTCACTGCAACAAGCACTGATATTTCATGAATTTGGCATAAATTTAACCGAACACTTTTTCCATATCAACATTTTATCTTTGCGAATTAAAGATTCACGCATTACTTACGTCACTTAAACTTTACTTCACTTTTGTTCTATTAAATACAATAATATCATTTCATCTGTTATGTACCTAATATGAACTAGTTTCATAAACTTCAGTCAGACAGCATGATTCAATAACAAACTTATTCAGAAACTGGCTTGTTTTTTTGTATATATATAAATTTAATTGAATTTCAAAATTTTTCAGTGAAGAGGATCAGTGAGGAACAACTAAGTTCCATTATCAATTCTCAACTCTTTGAGGGTGATATTGTGGGTATCGACACGGTAACACCAATATCGTCGCTGATTTTAAGAGATGAACCATTGGACCCATACGATTATTTATTCAAAATCCCTGTATTCTTTTTTCTTATCCATGAAAATGTTTGATAATTGAAATTCTATTTGAAGCATCAAATGTCATTATTTTTGCAGTTTCATAGCGCATTAAACTTGGCAACATACAAAGATAAGCTATGGCCAAATGGACAAATACCATATTTGTTAGAAGAAGGGATGTCTGTATCGTGAGTTTTTGTTTTCTAAATTTTTTAGAAGAAAAGTAAGAAAAACTAAAAAATTAGCAATTATAAATTTTAAAGTAACATCAATTGTTTTTGAATCCTAATCGATTTTTCCAATTATTATTATTGAAAAATTGATCTCTATAGAGTTTGAAGCCATCCGAAAACTTTAAAGGATCTGATAAAACCATTTTTTTTCGTTACAACCAGGAAACTCTCTTTTTTTTTCCATTTTATCTGATTACTTGTTGAACTTTTTTTGTAAAATGAAAACAGGTGAGTGGAATACATTTACAGGCAAAGGATAGCCATTGCGCAAGCTTTCGATGAATACAAAAACAAAACCTGCATAAAATTTGTACCAAAAACTAATGATGATATCGATTATATCGTTATCAGAAGAAACACAGCCTTCGGGTTAGTTGCTTTCATCATTTTTTCCATCAAATGCCATTGATTAGCATATAACTTTGTCCATTTCATCCATCAATTTATTTATTAATTTTATTTGGAATATGAGCTAATTTTTAGAAATATTCAATTAAGCATTTGATCCATTCGCCTAATCAAAATTTAATGTTCTTAATTATTGGAGAATTAATCTAAATTAATTTAGTTGTTCGTCATATGTTGGACGAGCTGGCGGCAACCAGACGCTATCCTTAGAAGTTAATAAATGTTTTGCAAAAGGAATTATTGCACATGAGTTGATGCATACGATTGGATTTTTTCATGAGCACTCACGTACCGATCGCGACAAATACGTAGACATCATCGAGGAAAACATTCGACCCGGTACTCGGTACACTTAAGCTTGGATCTCTCTCTCTCCCACCCTGATTAGTTCAGTCTAACGTTCAATTTAACTAAATAATAATGATATCAACATCAAGGCAACATATTCAAAACTCATAATTTCTCTAAATTGGAAACCTTTCCTCATCATAATTTCCCCCATTGGTCCAAGTTTGTTTTTTGGAAATGTTTATTTTAAATAAAATTTGATCTTCATTGAATTCTAGGGATGCTACGAAACTTCGAAAAATATCCACGAAAAGTTATTGATTCATTGGGAATGCCCTACGATTATGATTCGATTATGCACTATCACAGACAGGCATTTTCCAAGAATGGCCAATCAACTATTTTACCTAAAGTTGGTAGTTCATTTTTCTGTGCTGAGAAATTTATTAGCGTTAGTAGCTTAATTTCAGTAGATGAAATTAAACAGAAAAGTTCAATGACTGACACAGATGAATTCTTTGCCATTAGCTAAATCAGCCGAATCAAACGACGCAACAGTGCTGTTTTATAATTCCTTTTCAAAATCTTCCACTGCGTATCATCTGTACTTCCATCGAATGTTGTATGCTAAAAATTTAGGATCGAAGTGTAAGAATTGGACAGCGATACAGACTGAGTGTTATTGATGTGAAAAAGATAAACAAGCTTTATAAGTGTAATCAACCAGCTATGTCATCACTGCCTCAGACAACAACAACAGTAGCCACTGCTGCTACAGTAACCGATGAAAGAACCGTCAGAACCACAACGTTGTCCGCCTCTAGCACAAGTGATCGATCGGAAAATCGGAAAACACAAAAATTTCGCACTCTTCGAACTAGAAAACCCCTAATCACTCAACCTATCACTAGTACTGTAAAAGAAATAACAGAATTGGTCACAGGTATTTAATTTCAAAATCTCACCACTAAATTAATACAATATCAAACTTTCAAAAATTCAGCACAATATATTTTTGATAGTATACATTTTTTTGAATATCACAAAGCTTGACAGGTTTATTAAAATTCCTCTCATAAACATTTAAATATGATAATCTTAACGGAATAAACATTTAAATATGATAATCTTAACAGAATAAATATTTTAATATGATAATCTTAACGGAATAATTATTAATTGCAATAATAAAAGCGTAGTGTCTTAGTCATTTAATTTTTCTATTCATGTCATCAATTCCATCATATCGTCATTGACGATTATATTTACATTTGTCAACAACGACAACTTTTTCTCCATTTTTTTGAGTTCATAATCTCCTCCCTAGGCTATTTAGCAAAAAGTATTTTCATTTCTTGCGAGTACTGATTTTTAAAGAATTTTAATTATTATCCTTCTTTTAAATTGCAGTTTGTGAGGATCTAAATGCACACTGTGAAATATGGCAACAACTTGGCCATTGTCAATATTCACCAAAGTATATGGGTCACTATTGCAAAAAAACATGTGGACTCTGTCCACCAAAAACAAGTTAGTATTGAAATCATTTAAGTTTTAAATTGTTGATGAAAAGGCGAAATAAAAAAAACAATGATACCATAACATTTCTTCGTGTTCTTCAATCGAATCTTTTTCAAGATAGGAGAAAAAGATGTTCAACAATCATTTAATTAAAATTTTAGGTAAAAAGAAATCAAATCAGAAAACTCAATCATCACGATGTTTGGATAAGAATTTATTCTGCAGTTATTGGGCAAGCATCGGGGAATGCAATACCGAAAGTAAATTTATGATGATATTCTGCAAACGATCTTGTAACAATTGTGCAACAAAGCGGGAGATGCTGTTTAGCAATAAATGAAGCCAACAATCCGAATTGGATCATGCGTCATTTCTGTTAATAACAACCTTTGGTACTTCTTAAAACGGGCTCATTAAATGCACTTGTGAAACTTAAACCGGATACATACACACACATCCATGACAATAACTTATTAATATGAAAAATAAACCATTTTTTTTCATTTTACGATACAGAAATAAACCATTTTATGGTCTTCGGAATGATCCTTTGTCCATTCGCAGTGAAAGCTTTCCGGAAAAGAGTCTTGATATCATATTATCCTAATTCTCGAGAAACTCTCTTAATGATAGAAAAAAGTTTCTCGAGAAGCTCGAGAAACTTTTTTCTATCATTAAATTGCCCTAATTCATGTCGCCTGCGAAGCCTTTTGAGAAGATAATACTGATATCAGATTATCTTCATTTATATTGTCTTAATTCATGTTTCCCCAATACCTTTCCGGAAGATAATCCTGATACAGACTTCCCTGAAGATCCTGATCATATCAGTTGCATCGTGACTCATTGCTTACAGCAACCTATTCTCAGCTTGTTTGAAGATTCCAAAAACTAAAACAGCTCTGCTTTTAATGCCGCTTGAGTGACATATTCCTTTCACATGAATTGTCCAACCGAGAAGTAAATAATTCTTTCTAGCAAGGGAACATAAAGAGAAGTTGGAAATAAGAAAGTATGCAGGGTTGCGAGCGAGCACCGAAATAGCGATTTGCACGTAGGATGATGCGGGGGCGGCTGCAATGCTTGGATTTGACCAGTACAAGAATGATGTCCTGACGTGTGTGGGTGATAACTGAGAGTGCTTATAGAGTATTGTTGGATGAGATGACAGAGAGTTGCGAAATAGTGTGACATTTAAGAGGGACAAGTAACTGAGGGAATGCGTAGAGGGTTAGTTGTTAACCGCTTTGGTAGTGTGTTTGAAGACATATAAAGCATGAAGATGTAAACTGCACGTCGTCTTATCAAATTTAACTGTTCGAAATGCTGCAAAAGTCGTGGAATTTTGGGCTTCTTTTTGACCGAAAAGCTTTTAACCGAAATCAGATTTATTTAAGATTTATCGAAGGAGTACTCCCATAAAATTTTCGTTAATTTTATGTTTATTGCTTACTTTGTCGTTGTATCTGATAATGCTCTCACTTACCATCAGTTTTACGATCACAGGTCATCATTGTCAATCACATGAAATGAAACCGTGATAGAAGGGGAATGAAAATTAAATCCGTAAAGCAACTAAGTTGACGTGTACGAAATTTACTTACACCGCACTTCAACATCAAACTTAACGTCATCGAATCATACGATGTGGAACATTACGATTTACATAGAATGGATAGTTGTGACATAAGAAAAATGAAATTGAAATATGCTACCTTGATTTTGTGCACAGAACGGAATAAAATCAATTAACATTACGAAATTTCATTATGCGTAAACATCACTAGTGTGTTACGTGCAAAATGACAATTTTGTAATGCTCGTCTACTAGTCACTTTATCCATAAATGTTATTAAAGCTGTTATTCTTTTATTAATTGTTGGCAATTTAACAAATTTTTATTTTCAGGAAACGCATCCAAACTTGAACTCAGTGTTATCAGTGCTTAGTGTACAAACTTCTTTCGAGCAATATAAACAATGAATTCGTATTTCAAATCTCCGTAATTTTTCATTTAAATTTTCATAATTATTTATAAGAATAATTATTGATTAATAACAATGATCTATTTTAGTTTATTGTATTGCATTGGTAAGCATTTTTAAGCAGCTGCATTCATTTTCTTGAAAGATAATTTTGCATAAAAATATATTTATTCAAATTTATGCATTTAAATTTACATATTGCTCATAGTGCAGCTCACTTAAATAGGAATGCGCTGTGAAATTACAATCATATATGTTTATTTAAGAGGTGGTAATCGGGAAGTTTCAAGAATGGTAAATTGGAAAACGGATAATGCCATGAAACCTTGCAATCCATCTTTCATGTATAAATGCGATTGGTTAGTTTTACTATTATTGTCAGCTATATTAAAGTTAATACATGTTTATCTTATAGTCGACAAAAGCGTAAGAAAAATTATTTCTTTTGCTTGGAAGAGTGTTGCATTTATTCATTCAATAAGCTATACATTCTAATCGCGAGTTGATTACTGGTCATCTCGGATGGTTTAATTAAATCATTTAATTTGCTTGATAATTAAGCTATTAACATTTTAGAATGTGATTTTTATCTAATCAGTAATGTATCATTATCCCATATTGTTTGATGTATCAGAGAATATTTTGTGCAGTGCCTATCAAAGAGATACTTAAATTGGTGTTAAAGTTCAATTTCGCCAATTAATTCTTAAATTAATCCACCAACTTCGCGTTTTTTTTCTTTTTCGAACTAGGTGTTTAGGCGTTCATTTTTAACAGAAAAACAAAATGTAACCCATTGATATTTGCCGACTTGAACTAATGAAACAATTAGAAATTCAAATTACTGGTTATTATCAAATAATGTCATAAAGTTCTGATTAGTTTGCAAGTGAGATATTATGCAACTCTAAATTCAATATTACAAGATATATTGATTGAAATATGAAATGAACTCCAACTGTTTTATTTTGTTGTAAATTTTTTTGAATTCAGTTTAAAATATTTCCTGGCGATCATTTTATTAAACGGGATTTTTTCATAAGTGATGAAACTATTTTGTTTGAGCCAATGATAATTGTCCTATAATTTGTAGAAAAGTGTGTCTTTAAAAAAAGTCAGCATGTAAGGAAAAAGCATTTGTTGAGATCTGGTTCGCTCCGGATCAATTTTTAGGCAAATCAGACTGAATAGATGGATAAGACAAATTATGACCTGCTTATAATCCAGTGAAAGGTATGCATGTGATGTATGTACGAAAATGGTACCTTAGAGGCATTTGATAAAACTTCACAAAATCACTGATCACTTATTGCCATTCTGAAATAACAAAGCGTATTGAAAGCAAAATAACGATTTCTGGAAAGCTTCAAACTTCTGTACGAAAAACCCTACTTCATTTTAATTGTTGGATCAGTGAATCCAAGCTATCAATAGCTTAATTAGCATGTGAATTAAACGATTTTATTAAACTTAGGTATATCATCGGCGTTATATCCAAAAAGTGTAACAAATCATAATAGTTTCAGCTCTTATTAAGCTTTCCAGATTTTATCTAATCTACTTATTTATAAAGTAATAAATTTAATTGGAAGAAGCAACCCAAACACATGACTATTTCAGCATTCCTTCTGCGAGATCGAATAAAGAGTTCACGGGAATCAAGAATAATAAAAGAAGAGGTTCCTTTTTGTTTTATTATTATTTCACATTATTTACAATGCTGTTTACTTAATCTTATAAACTCTTTGCATAATCACATTCTGTGACGTTCTATATTAAAAAAAAGGCTTATTTGCTCCTAACAATTTGATATCATTATTGTTTCATAACCTTATATCATTACTTTTTTCACATCTTCCTGTTTTGATTCCAATTAATTCATTTTTGCTCTGTCTTTTATTTATCTTATACAGATAACGATGATTATCAACCATTCAATATTGAACTTACACAACCTAGCCGATAAATCGGACTAGTATCATGCGCATTTCTATTTGCAGAAAACATCATTGACGACGAGTGGGTGGATATGGATTTGGTCATTAGAGAGATACGATCTTATAGACAGCAAAATTTTTGGTGTCCAAATGTGCGCTTTGGGGTTCGTGAAACTTAACTTCGTTTACTCAAGTTTAATTCTTTATGTTTCGATTTCTTCTTAAGTGTCCTATGTGCCGTCGTAATATATTACAACTTATTAAATTATCGAATGAAGCTTAATCACATTGAAATATTCCGTACTATTTATTACGTGTTGTCTATGTCCATGTTTTTTCAAATGTTAGGGTATTCAAGTATTCTCCATCATTATTTGATGATAAATCTGCGATGACTATATCTTCATTTTCGAAAATCTCGTAAAACCGAGATACCATGCATTTCTGGAAATTTTATTGTAAGTATATGTTATAAATTTTTTTTTAAAAATCATGTCATCATATTTTTAGAATCATTCTGGTTATGCAAGAAGCAATATAGAAATCAAAAAAAATTCTGTTGTAACACTGATCGTGTTTGATACGAGTGGTCTCCTTCGCGATACTGGTTTACTACCTCTTTGCATCGAAAGTATGTTTTATTCCCTTACTTAAAATTCTGTTAAAATAATTTTAATTATAGAAAAATCAAGTCCTACATCGAATTCTTATTTCTATCTATCAATTGCAATTGTCTCAAATGCATTATAAGATGATTACGTGTTGTATTTGTCTGTTTTATTCAAGAAGTTTCTTTTTTTTTTGAACAATTATGACTTTACAGGTATCCAACAAAATAACAAATGTTTTCTGTTTTGCAATTTTATTTCAGAACTGTGTCATGTGCTTATTCCGTATACTGTCCTGAAAGAACTGGATGGATTGAAAAAAACTGTAAGTCTATCAAGTTATCAAGTTGGAGTGAAATATGAAGTTTAATTGATCGGCATTACCTATCTATCTTTTGCATCATCAATCTATTTTCTGCTAAAAAGACGAAAGAAAGTGTTCCGCAGCCATAGGCAACTTAATTTCATCCTGTTGTTGTATCATTGTTCAGACTATACGAATCAAGCTGCTATTAATCTGCCATTAGTTCGATAAAAGCTTCTAAGATTTATACATTAAGTTAAAGTCTCCAGTTCAAATTTTATGAAATGCAGTGAGCATGATGAATGGAATCACTGAATTTTTTATTCTATTTTTTATATTCGAAATTAATTTTTCAGCTAAACACAATGAGATTTTAATGCTTTACATTGTCAAGAATTTTCATATCATAACAAATTTATCACAGGACTACGAGAAATTGCGAACGAAAGTCATTCGAACACATGGATTTCTGCATGACTATTCAAAAAGTGGATGTTGTTATTTACATATCGAAAATATGTTTGAGGTATATTTCAGTTAAAAATAAGCTTCAATTATCAGTTGAAGAATACATGTTTTTAGTTTCTAATTTTTGATTATGATCTCATTTTTGTTGTAATTTTCATCATTTCTAATGTGAATGAATGATAGCATTTCATTTAATGATCAGTTTTTCCATTCTCATACACTTTTTTTAAGGCTTCATTCGGTGTAGAAGAATTCGGATGCGAAAATAATGATGATATCATTCTAAAATGCGCACTGATCACCACCAAGAGATGTTTGTTACTTGTTTTTTCTATGTTTACCTCTTTGATTATTTGTAAGTAGGTGACATAAATTCATTTCCTTATTAAAATTCGCTTTGATTAGTTTATTTAATTTAAATTTGTTATACTTTTCGTTGATTATTTTCACACATTGTGGATTGCATGTTCCGCTTATCATTTTTTTTCAGAAAAAATCATCTCATTAATGTAAAGCAGAATTCTTTTAGACAGGAGTGAGAAAGTATCGGTGATATTCGTTACAAATGACAAAAGTCTTGCGGTGAAAGCACTGGCGCATAATATTTTCACACTCGATAGAAAGGTACCAATTTTGTTGTCATATAATTTAACTTTAACAGTTTTTCTGAGTCCTTTTTTTGGTGATGATTTTTTTAAGTAGTATTTTGTATGTGATGTATACCACAATCTGCTACGTATATATTAAGGTTGTTTGTTGTTTGTTCAAAAGACTGCTTGAATATTTAGCAATGTGCTACTGTAGGCTCAACATAGTTGAGAATGAATCTTCTAATTTACCGTGAATTCTTGTCCATCTGTTAGTTCAACTCTCGACAATTAAGATTTTAAGAAATTTTGCCGAAACGCATGTAAACTTTTGTCGCATCCCATTAGAACTGTTTATCTATTCTATATTAGGTCTTGACTACGATCCAACTAATGTAACTTAATAAGCATCTCTTTAATATTGAAGATGTTTATTGCTTAAAATTAAAAAAATTAAGTTTTGATTAATCGGCGTAATTAAATCCATTGCTCTGTAATAGCTTTCGAATAACTGGACTTAGTCATATTTCCAGGAACTGGTTGATTTATTGCTAACTAAAGCACCAGAAGGCAAAAAGGAATTACTATCACCAGAAAGCCTTGCACAACGGGAATTTTTGCGATACAATTCAGCAGGAAGCTCAGCGCAGCAAAAATTGTCGCAAAATAATTTTCTGCATTCTGCATTCGCCAAACATTTTAACTCCAAAATAAGGAACAACTTAGTTGTACCTAATCAGTTTGGGAATTATTCATCTCCAGTATTTGCACCAGCAACATTCATGTTTCAACCTGGAGGACAAATCATTATGCAGAATTACTTATTTCGGATTCAAAACATATTTCGCATGCTTTTATGCGGTGAACCATCATTTCAGCTTCTACAAAAGTTTTTTCCACTCACATTTCAAATGTTCGAAAGAATGGTAAAGGTAACCAACTTCAATTCATTTAAATATTGACTTCAATTAATTGATGAGCAGTAGATCGTAATAGTTTAACCTCGAATTTAATCGATATGATCAAGTTCTGTATTCGCATTTAAATTAAAAAAAGATCTTTTGATGAGTTGCGAACCCTGAAATGAAGTAGGGACAAAGTCTGGAAAATCAGTTTAGTATGTTCGGTATGAAGAAAAAATATGGATCAACAGGATATGTTGGTTTATTCAACTTCTTTATTGTCAGTTAAAATTTAATGGTAGCCTAAGGTTATTTAATTACTAATGTTATTGAGGCTATATCATCATTAAGTGCAACGCTTTTAAGTAGCATATATCATACAAATCATGGATACTGATATGGCCATGCATAAACTACTTAAGAGAGATGCTCGTGCCTGAATTAATTAGCCAGGCTATCTATAGATTGTACTTCGTGCCTTGATGCTCGGTACGATATATGTTCGTTCTGTTTTGATAGCCATTCTTCCTTGATGCATACTAATTTTTCTTAACGATGATGTGATATCCAACCTAAATTTTACGAAGACTATCTTCATAGATTGCGAAAACATTGCAGCTCGCTGTAAAGTTTTCGAAAGAAGCAATTATAATTATTAGTTCGTTGCTTCTGTTACAGGTTTATGAAACTACATCGAATTTAGTTCATTTGTAAGGATGGGCTCCCATCAGAAGCTTAGCAAATTACAATATTTTATTCTACATACTTAGAATAAGTTAATTTTGCCCTAACCATCTGTCTTATTTGATCTTTTTACAGCGTTCTCGTTTTTAGATATAAAGGTTTTTTACTACTTTTTTTCGGATAAATTTGTAGTAAAATAGTATGAATCTAAGTGCAGCAGCACTGATTATAAGATACTCAGAGAGTTGTGACAAAAGCCGTTATCAGATACTTCATGTAATATGATCACATGAATGCGATGAAATTGATAAATGATATAATAAAGCTTTATAAAATTTTTATTCATAAATTTCAAAACAATGAACTTTTTACTCTAATTAATGTATTCACATCAATTTTTTACAGTAGAGTGAAACATTCATACATTTTTTTATTAAAGTTATATTAAATTAAAAATAAGCACGAAGTGTCTCAATTGATTGTCCGTCAATTTCATTTGGCCTTATGCGACAATTTCATTTAACTTAATGTTTTAAATTAAGAATAAGCTGCAATGTAATTTTTCGTTATATGCAAAATATATGTTATATGCAGTTATATGATATATATTATTACACGTTATAGTTACACAGCTATAGTTATATATTATTAGTTATATGTTGCAAGTTATATGCAAACTTTTCTCTTTATGATGAGAATTAATTGAGTTGAGAACTGAGGCAAACAAATTTGAATCTAATTTATGATTTGCTCTTGTTTCATTGACACCAGTGAAGTTTTGAATTCTTTATCCTATTGTTTTAAAATATTGACATATTAAGCAAATTTTTCTTTTCAGAAATATTTGAGTGAAAACGGATGGGGTGAAGAATAGGTGTTGAAAAACGAAGTCGAAAAATGACTGTATATTTCACGAAAAGGATTTAGAGATATCCTGCTTTTAACCTGTCTTTTTTTATTTGAAACTTTTTTAAAAATGTTTTCCTTTCTCTCTAATGTAGCTGTTTTTATTGCCTAGAACATTAATATTTGTTACTGGAAGTTTGGTGTCTTTTCCAACTTTAATTAAGCTCCTAAAAATACCATACTTAAGCAATGTATCAGTTTTCCCGTTAATGAAATCTTTTAAATCAATCCATACATCTTAATTATTATTATTACTCTCTATCCTTTTTTTGCATTTATTCTTTTCTCTCCAGATTTTTTCTATTGCAAAAACTCACAGTATTTGACTTCTTTTTGCAAGGTTTTGAGATCAGTTAAATCACTTGATTCCTCATCTCTTCTGAAACACATAACATGTTTTATGTCGATCTCTTCACTTTTTATTGTTCATCTGAAATATTTTTGCATTACAAATCAGCGTTTATTTTCTTCCTGATTTGAAGTTCTGGAATTTACATGTCAACATCTATTAAGCTCCAAGTATTATTCTTTTCATATGGTCACCAAATCTGTCTGGTCATATTTTCCGGTGCAAACCTGGTGGAATTATGTACCGCCTTCTTAGAGTTGATTATCGATTATCGATTATCAATCTCGAATAAGTCTGCATAGTTCATTTGGGATTAGATCATTATTAAATCTTTTCTCTTAACAAGTCTCTAATGCTTTTTGATTTGAGAAATTTGTTGTTTCATAGAGAAAGATTGTTGAAGAAATTTATTCTTGGTGAAAGATGAATGTAATGCAATTCTCAGAATGTATAACAATTAAATCGATTACTTCGTTATTTTTTTTCACTGCTGATCGGGAAAAATAATTTGGGACTCTTCGTCAAAGAATTAGTTCAGATGAGTGGATGACAAAACCATCTAATTTTGGAGAAGTAAGTTAACTAAAATACGTTCCTTTCGAGTGGACAGTGCTCGATGAACATTATTTACAGGAAATAGTCAATTGGTCATCTTATAGACAAATTAACGGTACGAAAAAAGGTTATAGGGTCATTTGATACATGAGGCTAATGGTAAACATGGAGGATCATTGGTACAAATCATTGGGGTTTTAAATAGACAATAAAACTGATAGTTAATAAAGAGTTGCTTGAACATATGATTAATAGAGCAAATGGTAAAAAAAGAGGATTATTTGATGTTAATTATTTACAGTATTTCTTAAAACAATGAATTAAGATATTAAACGAAACAAATCGAGTGAATAAATACGGAAATGTATCGATTCAGGAAATATTGATCATTTGATAATTCTAGTTTAGAGACGTCAAAATGTCAATGAGCGTGTGAACTTGCTCATTTACAGAAATAGATATTATATTGAGCAATGTGGAAAGTGTAGTTTGAAGGAAAACATAAGGTTAAACGAGAAGATCGATATAAAACACATTTTATATTTTTCAAAAACATGTTTAAACAATGCTTTTTAAAGTGTAGAAATACGTTTTCCTTTCCAAAAATTGCAAGCAGTAGTATGATTGCATAATTCACATTCTCTATCGATTGGTCAGCTTTGACCTTTTATAATAGCGGTGATAATTTCGCAAAATATATTTTTGACTTTGCATTTAACACAGGACATTTCTGTTTATGAAGACAGCATTTTCAAACCTCTCTTGTGCAGATAGGTATATATTAATTATCACAAGTCCAAATTTTCAGAATATTAAAAATTAACTTAACGAGCTTCTTGATTAAATATCATACAAGAAAAAAACGGTTCCTATTCATCAAAAAATATAACTTGGTATCCGATTTTTCAAATCTCAGTTTCAAAACATATAAAAAAGACTTCCTCAACTGCAAATAATATCGGTAGAATACTTTTCTTGTCCAGTTTTTGGTATTTAAATAATAATAAATCTTTCTCAGAAATAAGTACTAAAGATTGGATATTTTCGAAAATCATACATTTAAAGTTTCAATTGGAATAAAATGAAATGGAAAAAGAAAGCAATTACAATATTTAAATAAATTTTTATTCTACGATCGTGATACATACATTATGGAACACACGATGAAAAATAAATTCATGATATTGTGCAAATAAATTTTGTAATAATTGTGACAGGATACTGAATGAGGATATGCGATGTATATAATATAGATATAAAACAAATAATCCAAATTAAATATGTTGTGACCTGTGATATGTATGATCTGTGATAGAGCGTAAAACGTGTGTCCATTGTATATTAACCGTTCCCATTCATCATGAATAAAACATCTCTTCTCATATCTATCATAAAACTTACAATTATTTGATTTGTAATTTTTTCCTTTTTTTTTAAGTTATTGTTCAAAATGTATTTATTTCTTCCTTTCTTATTTAGATTTCAAAAGAAAAGTTAATTAACCATATACAATAAATATATTTAATTGATATTATACAATAGGATTTTACTAAGGATGCGCACTATGTACTAAATCATATCACTTATGCAGATTTTGAATAGCATACTATTGAATTAGTAACACAATTTCTACACAAATTTATCCCAGCTTCCAAGAATAATTAGTAAAAATACATTAAGCTACAATCTAAACTATATAGATTCGAAATTCACAAAAGAACTACTCAAAATTATAACTTGAGCTTATACATTATTGGAAATCGTAGGTGGAAAGCATTCTACAACTTTTTCAAAAAAAGATTGCAAAATTTCATCTGATACAGTTGGATGAAATAGACTGGTACCCACATTACCATGTGCCTCCTTGGCATGACATACCACATCCGGAATACGGAAAGCAGAAAAATCGCAACGCGTACACTGGAAGGGATATCGATCTCCGACCTGAACTAACCATGAGAGATGCATCCATGCATGAAGTTCCAGGAATTTTCTCAAAACCTGAAAATGAGATGATCTAGCGTAATTGTCATAGAGGACTAGAGAGAAAGGAGGAGTACCTTTGAACGGCAAACTGAACAAGAGAGCTGAGGCTCATCGTCATTATCCTGCTCGGTATAACCATAAAATTGACGAGGGTATGAAACATTGGGAACGAACGCATCGGTGTTTCTAATTCGACTCTGCTCAACCGTCGCACCTACAAAAGGTTACTTGTATGATAAATAAGAAAAACCTTAAGAAAGAAGACATATATGCTATAATTGCTTATTTTAATAGCTCCTAATTTGGAAAAAACGTTTTAGAAGCTTAGGAGTATATTACGAAAATTTGCATAAAAAGAAATTTGACTTCACAAGTTCTGATATTCAAAATTATACAAACAGTAAACCATTTTTTCATCGAGATACCTCAAATTCGACCATTACACTTAAATATCTTGCTTGTTGCAATAAATGCATGTGGTATACTGTATGTAAAACCAGAATGTATAGCGTATCATAAGTGTAGTAGCATCATGTGTACGTATGGAACATATGTCATATCGTACATGTGTGCGGTATACTGTATGCTAAGTGATGGAATATTTCACCTGTATTTTGATTCGGTATGCCAGTCTTTCGTCGCTTAAAGCGAGAATAGTTTTTTCGTTCGGTAGTACGCATGGGGCCGCCTGGCACTATCACTGAGTTGTTTATCAAAGCTCGCTTCTTCGAACGTCGTTGACGTCTACGATTCGGACGATTTGGTACTGGCCCCTTGCCATTATTCGCAGGTTTTGCTGGCCCCTTGCCATTATTCGCAGGTTTTGCTGGCCCCTTGCCATTATTCGCAGGTTTTGCTGGCCCCTTGCCATCATTCGCGGGTTTTGCTGGCCCCTTGCGATTATTTGCGAGTTTCGCTGTCCCCTTGCGATCATTCGCGGGTTTTGCTGGCCCCTTGCGATTGTTCGCGGGTTTTGCCGGACCCTTGCGATCATTCGCGGGTTTTGCTGGACCCTTGCGATCATTGGCGGGTTTTGCTGACCCCTTGCGATCATCGGCGGGTTTTGCTGACTCCTTGCGATCATTCGCAGGTTTTACTGACCCCTCGCGATCATCCGCAGGTTTTACTGGTCCCTTGCTATCATTTGCGGGTTTTGCTGGCCCCTTGCCATCATTCGCGGGTTTTGCTGGCTCTTTGCCATCATTCGCGGGTCCTCCAAAGTTTGTGCTTCTCTTGGACTTTGGTGGGAAGCGTTCATCCATCTGAAATGATTTACCGCCACTGTTTTTGCACTCTCTCTTACATTATTTGTCTCACTACTCTTTTTCTCTTTAACGATTTCAACGGTGACACGTGACACGTATTAATTATTTCACTAACGCAAATTTCATGTTTTTCAGTACAGATTTCCTGTTGTACTCGTTATAGGTACAAGAAAAATACTTAACCATTGTCACAATAACCCTTGCTCAATTTAACAGCACCAAAAAAATGATGAATTTCCTCATTCATTAGTAAAGTGAATACGTGATATACATGAACATACCTGTCGGTATGGTTTATTTTTCCGCCCTTTTCCCATTTTTGCTATTTCAATTTCAATTCTTTGAATAACACCCGACTATTAAGGATTACAATCTAACTGGAATGTAAAATAATTTAAAATGAAAATATACTTGGGAAGTAGGTATTGGATGTGCTGATTAATAATTTGAACAATTTCCTATTTCAGCATTTAATAAATTTTATCCATTTTTCTACGTATACCTACGTATACCTATGTGTATCCACGTATACTTTGATAGATGAACACATATACTCCCGTATACTTTCGTCAATTTAACCCTTAAAGATTTCCAAAATAAGAAGCGAAACCACCCAACCAACCACTCCGTAACAAACGAAATACAGAATCTGAGCTTTGTCAGATGCGAGCATCTTTAATATCACATCATCTTGAGCAAGCGTTTATTCAAATTTACTTACACAATATTATACGTGTAGAATGGAATATTGATTTATTGATTTTCTCTTCAGGCTACAGTTCGTTGGCGAGAAGCCGACTGTTTCTTTTCAGGATAGTGAGGATAGGTGGTGTGGTGTTTCAGTGTGCGTTTATTCTTGGGTTGGTAAGCTTGCTAAGACGTGTGCATGCTCATGCGTGTGATTTTGTTCATTATTTAGGAATATAGTTGTTTTATTAAGTCTTTCAAAGAAGTTCATCTTATTCGTTTTGTTTTTTTTTTGGTATTTGTCGTGTTTGATTAATTCGTACGTCAGTTTTTGTATAATCTCCTATGGTTCACACGTACGTAAGTGACCTTTCTCTCCCTTTTCCTCTTCATTTCTTTTTTTCTTTGGAGGATTACTTTTGTCATTTTATGCTATCCGACCTGTGAAAGAGGAAATTGAAAAGTTTTTGGTTCTGTGACAACTTACTTGTTTATTATCTTACTTCTTTTTGTGACTATATTGCCCTCCATGGTTTTTTTCCTTCTTCTAATATAATGGCTTATATGTAAGTCCTTATCAGTTTGATTATTTAATTAAGCTGAAATTTCGTTGATTACGAGTGAACGTCATGAGTCGTCGAGTTGCATACAAGAAAACCAGAGTAAGCAGGAAATCGACTCCCAAGACGACGATATGTCTGTGTTGCGGAGGCGGTAGGCGGCCTAATTGTTTAAATTTTTCCAAATTAAAAGGAAAGGGAAAGGAGAAAAAGTGAAGATAGACGAGAAAAGCATATGTGGCACTAAAAGATTAGATGGCGATAACAGTAATGAAGAAACCTAAGGATTAAGTTGAATTAGATCAAACTCGGAAGTAACAATGTATTCCGTATATTAGTTGACCTCCAGGAAGTAAGCTAAGAAGTTTTTAAATGAAGATGTGATAACTCCAAAGTTTGTTTTAGAGTACTATATCCCATTCCTTCGGCAGTATTGGAGTAAACGTTCGCACCACTTTAATGAATTGAAAGCAATGGCTGATAAGGAGGACGATTGTGCTATAATCTATGAAACGATGAATGGACAAAATAATACTCATAAACAATCGACTCAAGTAATCTAAGCTGTTCACATTTTTTCCTGTAGCTCTTGTTCAGCTTGTGGATTATAGAGAACGGTTCAATGCACCTAACTACTTTCTTTCGATTGTAATATCTGGCACCACGCTCTAGATTACTTTGCGCCATTACTAAAAGATGATGCACTAAAGGAACTGACCATATAGTCTGGATAATTTGAAAAATCGAAGATCAATAGGACTTTTGCAGTTTAACCTAAGTTTCTAATCTCTTAAGTATGTTCTGCCTTCCTTTTTTTCTTCATTGGTTGGATACCTTTTTTCTAAACTGACCCAATTTCATGACGAACTTGGGAAAGAAGCTAATGACACACCAGTGGAACAAGCTGATGGCAAACGTGAAAAGAAAATTGATGATAGCAACGATGACTGCACCATAGTATATGAAACTATTGGTGGGCGAATGAAGAGTAAACATAATGATATTACCGTAGTCTATGAAACGACCGGTGAGCGAAAGAAGCGCAAAAGTGATGATTGCATCGAGGTCCACGAAACGACTGGTGGACCAAAAAAGCATAAACATGATGATTGCATCGAGGTCCACGAAACGACTGGTGAACGAAAAAAGCGTAAACATGATGACTGCACTGTAGTTGACGAAACGACCACTGTGCAAAAAAAGCGTAAGAGTGATCAAGCAGTTCAGGTGTTGCACTTAAAAACTTGCATAAGTTTTTACCCTTTTTGTAATACCTGGCATAATCATAGCCATACAAACTTCCTTCAACAAAAAAGTACTTGTAGCTTTTTTTATTGCTACGTATTTCTCCAAAATTCACTTTATTTTTAGTACAGATAAATTTTTTTTTACGATAACTTATTATTTCCATCCTTAGACTTTTGAAAATTTCTTTATGATATTAAAGTTCTAACTGTAATTTCTAACAATTTTTGAACATATTTCCGCTTCGTAAGAACAAATTATCTTTATAGGTTTTTGGCGACCAGAAAGGCCAGGAGCAAGAAAAGAATCCGCAGGAAGGTGAATACTTTACTCAGAGTTTGTTTCATTATTCATTGATATCATGAAGTGTATATTTTGATGTTGACTGATTTCCATATTTATAATGGAAAGGTTGCAAAATTGACCTCTATGTTAAAAAAGAAATAGTGGAACTTTTTTTAGGAATAGTGTTCATTGATTGATTGCTGAAAATATAGTAGTGATGTTTATTTCGTCCTAATGATAAGTCTAATTAGCCATATAATTAGTAAAATTTTTAATTAAACATTCAGTTTCTCGCTTAAGTTTCCCACTTATTTTGGTCTTTTTTTCGTTTCGACTTGATCAGTTAGTTAAGTTGCGATATTGGCACGGTTTGAATTTCAGGTTTGCAGCCAGAGCGTATAATTCGCGCAACCTGTGCTGATGGAAAAACGAAATTCTTGGTGAAGTGGGAAAATATTTCTCAGAGCAACTGGGTACCAAAGGAAATTGTCAATGAGGAATACCCGAATATTGTTCTCAAATTTTACGAAGCAGAACATTGTAATCAGTGATAATAAACAATTTTTTTTGTAGTAAAATACGATCCATTGTTAAGGTCATGAATACTAGTGAACTGTTTTTTGTCATTATTTATTAATTATAATCATCAATTATTATTATTGCTAGTACAACTATATTTTCATGATAATTATTATTATTGTTACTATCATTACTATTACTGTTTGTCTAGTGTTTCGCTTAGATCCGCAATAGATTTTTTTTTTAGAAAAAACAATGCCACAACAGACTTCATCATGTAAACAATGCATTCGATTATAGATAACTGATCATATTTCGCATCAAAAAAAGATAGTTAAACCTGTCACTTATAAACTTTATCGACTATAAAATCCTGATAGGATTGACTTTTTCCTGGTAATACTTGTCTAGTTTTTGACATATCAGCAAAGATTCTATATGTATAGTCATTCAAATAATTCATTCCAGATGGAGACCACTACATGCATTCACTTCGAAATTAAATGCAGTATTGTTCCATGAAATAGTGTTTCCAATTATATTCCTTTCCAACAGCAATTCTTCTACTGCTCTGTACTGCATTCTTGCTTAGGACGACCCAACTTTAAATTTTCACCGAAAAAGTCAGTACATCCTCGAAATGATAACACCGGTTTCTTTGTGTCTTCCCTGTCGCCTTCAAATGAATCCCTCTTCTTCGTATGAATAATCTTATGTTTTTCTGAATTTCTCTTTAAAATGACCGTATCGCGGGTTCTTCAAAAAGTCAAGATGTCTACCTATAAAAAATATATGAATTGAATCTAACACCTCAAAACAATTGGAGACACTTCACTGCATTTTTTTTCATCCTAAATGTTGTTTTCCAGTTGAGAATTTTCTAGCGAAAACAAATGAGTGTTAATGATGCAAGAAGGAATTCATCTCTTCATAGGAATTTGCTGAAACTCAACAATGATAATCGTTATCTTTTAAAGCTGTTACATGTAAAACATCAGATCAAAAAAAAAAAAAACAAACATTTCATCATAAAAGCAAAACATGAACTTCTGAACAAAAATGTAGAAAGATATACGAGTAAATTAAAGCCTAATTAATGCAACCTCCGTCCTAAATTTTAGGGTACAGTGCTCTAAAATTGAATTTTAATTATTCCAATTTAAAATTAGAGAAGCATACTACAGTGGTCACAGGAAGTCAGTGATTGAACATAAAAAACCTCAAATATTTCACAGAACTGACAGTCCTGGTTATAATTTGTGTGTCCAAGTAACTTTTCCTTACTCATTTCAATATTCATTCTTATTTAGTTTTCATTCATGACAATGGCTAAGCTATGTTGAAAGTAAAATGGTATTTTTGATAGTTTCATTCAGATCGATTATATTGAACATCAAAGATCAAGTAACTCAACAGTTCAAACCACCGGAATAATCATAAACAGTGGATGAATTAAATGGAAAGATGATTCAATGATATTTTATGTCTTAGCAAAATGTAAATGCACGTCGTTTTCAACATAGCAATCGCAGCACTAAAAGAAGATATGTATCATAATCCCAAAAATCCTCTTAATCCTAAAAATTTAAACGTCATAATGGATATTTAACTAACCATAACCATTTAATACACTGAAAAATACTCCGAAAATGTGAAATAGTTTCTCAGTAGATTGAGTGGAATTTCATCAAACTATCCTTGTCTAATTTGTCCGCTGATTTAAAATGTCGAACTACTTGATCTCTGCAAAAGGAAAAAATTTTTGTTAAAATTTTTTTATGAAATAAATTTTAGTCAAAAGGTGAAAATACGTATACAAAGAAAAAGAAATTATTATGAAATAAATTAACAGTACCAAAGAGAACAAGAACATACAATACAATATCTGCCATAAAAACAGCTAATACAAAAAAAATCCGTGTCTTCTCATACTGCTATCACTATATCACTGCTGTTAGTATCTTAATCAGAGATACATAATAATAGAAAAAACGCAAAAAACAAAAAGAATGAAAATAATAAGAAGAAATGAAAGGTACTTTGATCAGTGTTTGATCGAAAAATATCACATTCTATAGGGATAACGATAATAAATAATGAAATAGAAAAATATTTTGCATAGTTTTTGCGACTAATTGATTTAAGAAAGCATTTATATATTTTGGTTGGAAATAAAGGAATTGTTGCGATTCTGGTCTATAACCGTGTACAAATTAGAGTCAGCCAAAAATATACAAAAGAATAGAAGTAGAAATATAGAAGTATTTATATGAACGAAAAGAAAAAATAAGGATACGAAAAAAGATATGAATATATAAAGAAATACGAACTGCAGGGATATATTTATATTTACGAAGAAAGAAGCATGAACAAAAAATACGAAAGAAATGAAAATAAATACAAAGAAATGTGAATAATTACAGGTGAATATGTAACATGACGCTGTATTCATAATACTGGATCTCTTATAGTTTCAAAAGAGATAACCAAGGAAAAAGATAGTGGTTAATAGCTGCTACCATTCTAGAAATGAACATTGGTCTTGAAAGCAAACAAATAAACAAACCAAAAAAATAGTTTCAATCAACAAGGCAGAAAGGCTAAACAAAAAATGAATGCGATCAATTGACAAACACAGAGACTGTGTTAGACGAGATCACACAATGTATGATTGAAGTCTGACGAAATAAAATAACACAATTGACATCATGATGATGAAATGAAAGTTGCCAAATATATACAAATCCAGTGAAGAAATAAAAATTGTTTGGAACAAACAACAATAGACGTAAGTCAGAAGAACAGATATGAAAAACAGCAACATATGGAACGAAAAAAAAAGAAAAAATTGAGGCAATCGAGATTTGCTTGTTTCGTTTTTCTCCTTTGTGCTTTTAAAAACAATAAAACTGCCCAGGTTTTATCAGAAACAGACTGACGCTTAAGGAGAACATGAAGTAGATGGATCAGAGGATGAACACACCGGTGGGATCGCCAAACAACGATGGCAACAATACAACGATGTCTGGTCTACTCGGTTCACCGTCTGTCCAACACAAACATAATGATACCATCGTGAACAACCTGCTTCACACTGAATCCAACGAATGTGATCACCTATAAACATTCGAGTGAAAATTATGAAGAAAAATCATTCGTCAAGGAGGTACTAAATGATAAAAGAACTCAACAATACATTCCACTTGTTACACATCCTTAGTCCACTTTTCAATTATTAGCTTGATTAAAAAACCCACTTATATTTTTCAAAACTAACTTAATTTATTATCAAATAAAGAAAGTTGTAAACGCTATAGTGACTAACTGTAAGGCTGCAGGCAGGTGGCAGCAGAACAAATGTCCTGTTCTTGATGAAAATCATTCTTGGAACGTTTTCGATGTCCTGCCATAAATTTGCCATTTCCTGATATGCTTCGCTTCAAACCTCGACGTCTTTCTTTTACTACTCTTTTACTACCACTATTATCAGGAAACAGAACATTTGGAATCTGTGTCGAAATTGGTCGTTGCTTGATCTGCTGATAAATCTCTTTGTCCTCTTCAGTAGGCGGCTTCACTCGAATGAGTGCATTAGTAATCAATTTCCATGCTTCCGAATTCATTATCTCGTTACAGAAAACCGCAATCAGAGACTCATCAACACTAAAGTAAAAGCATAAACAAATATCTACTCATTTATTTCTTACATCACTTAAACGAAGAGTAAACATAATGCTTAAAGTTTAATGGCAAAGCATTCCATATGCAGTCTGACTGAGATTTCCTATTATTCTAAATCTCGCTATGACAACTCCGATTTATAAGATCTGAGATGCTGATAAAGAATTTCCAAGACAAACATGCCTTTTACATAGTTCCGCATCAAGAGGAGTACCGAGAGGTGGTAGTTTGCCGACAACGTCTAAAGCTTCTGCATAAGCCAATTCAGCATGTTTTAAAGCGGTTTCAACCAGCAAACGTTCCAAAGACGGTAGAGCAGTCCCACATGCAGCTTTCACGTCTTCAGCAAAAGGACGGAGACTACGCAAGCATCGTACACAAAGATAATAGCCTACCGGAAGCTGTGACATGAACGGATTCCATTGCACGCAATTTGCTGAAAAAATTTTCATGACATGGATTACAAGTTTAGATTGGATTGAAACTAATTATCACAACAATTCAGTGCAAAAAGAGATCGAAATACTGTTTAAAACGATCCTCGTTCCTAGTAAATTAACAATATGGAAAAAAAATTTTAAGAAATCAAAGCTTAGTTTCTTTATAGATTCTTAAGCTGACTGATAGTGAAGTCTTACCTCATAATTAATAAATCATTATTTGTAGTACATGACTGAGATCAGAATATGCAACCTGCCTTTACCCTTTATTATGAAAAGCGAAGTTATCCCAACCAACAGCATCTCCACGATATCAATTCTACTACAAGATAAAGGTGAACAACTAAAGACAATTTCTGATCCTTCTCCACAAACATCTAGTATATATAACTCTTCGAAAGTTGGCATTTCCTTTTCTCCTTCAGATATCTAGTGTAATTGCTTTTCTAATCATCTAATAATATTTAATCAGAGAACGAATGATCTAATTAATAGGGTACAGTTTAATGATTGCTAATTCAGAGGAGACGTTGTACAAGTATACATTTAAACTTGATCAAATTAATTTCACAAACGTACAATGAAATTTGGCGTGACAAAGTAGGCAACGAATAACAGAATTATCCTCTTCCTTTGCCCTACCACACAAACACATTTCGTCGATTGAACGGATTTCATTTGATTTTCGCAAAGTTACTATTAATCTGCGCTGCTGCTCATAAAGTGAATTGACATGATGAGTCTGAAATTTTATCAAATTTCCTTGGAAGAAAAAGAAAAACAATAAGAAGCAATAATCAAATACTGCTTTAAGACTCCTTTTGGGGATATTCAATTCATTCTCTTAAGAAAAGCTGGACGACTTACAAGCTGCTCGACAGATTCGAAATCTTCAATATATGCCCAATTGCCACGGAGTGAAAGTGAGTCTACCAGGATAAGTGGCGTTGCAACACCTTCGATTAATCCCGTTAAATCATCTCGACCATCCAATATCTTTAATAGAACGATGAAATAATTCCAAAAATCACCTGGCAACTTGAATGGTTTTTTTTTTTTTTAATTTCAGAAAAAGAGAAAACCTCGACAATACTGTAATAAGATGGAGATGATGCAAACATTTGGCCAACACGTCGACAAAAACATTCAACGCAATCATAGAGTCTTTTCATATCCGAATTCATTATTGAATTTTTCAAAATGAAGGATTTTTCGATTTTGAAAAGCAAATCACTTAAAGATTTCAGCGTGTAACTCTTGTTTCCTAAAAATTCAATAACGGTAATGGAATTAAAAGGAAAACACGGAAATCAATGATTATTCTCTAAAATGGTAACTGATATAGATGAATACATGCCAATAAAAAAAATTCCACTACCTTGAAACACACACCTGACCGTATTAGATGAAACAATTTTAATCAGAATTACAATCTTATAATCTGAATCAGGTATGAGTTCGTCACTAACTTTCGAGATAAGTATTACTGGAATACAAAAAGGAATATATTACTTACCTCTTAAACGTCGAGCAGTATCGTAAAGATTTCGAGCGAACTTATATTCATTTCTGAATTTATCGATGTATTCTTCTGTCATCCATTCGGAGACTTCCAATGAAGCACGCATTTTCTCAGCCTCTTCCATTCCTATTCCTTCGTTTCTTGTATCTCGCAAGAAAACTTGCGCCTTTACAAAAAATCACTTTATGAAACTAAATAAACACATAGGTTTCACTGACAACAGTGCATTGTCACCATCCAAAAACCCTATTTCATAGGAAAGCTGAAATCTTAAATTGAGTAGTAAAAAGAAATAGAATCCTTAAATTTGACAGTAGTAAAAAGAAATAGAATTCTTAAATTTGAAAGCAGTAAAAAGAAATAGAATCCTTAAAAATATCCTCATTTTCAGGCAACAACTATCCTTCCAGTGCTTTTACTGTTGTCACAGGCAAACATCTGTGCCTAAAGATAAAGAAAAAAACTTCCTGTTGACCTCAGGAACAAACCACAATGTACTGGAAGACCGTTTGTTCGAAATGGTCAGTTCAATAGATTATAAAAACTAGAAAACGAACTACATATTCATTCTGGTGACCAATTTTTAACACCACGTTTAAAGCGTCAACTTCAGTCTGAAATTTGATATCGTCATCCGCGATTGCTCGTCCCTTTTCGATTAATTCCATTAATTCTTTAAGTTTCCATCTTCCTTTTGCCTGGTCATGTCCAACAGTATTTTGACTTCCCGATTTGCTAGGTGGTTTATTTTCGGATGTCCAAGCCAATATTTTATGCGCACACTGTAGCCATTGGCACTTCTCTAGCATCTAAATTAATGATAGTGAATAAATAGTAAGGTTTATACCCAATTAATAAATCCTCATCAAAATTATTTCTTTCTCGGTGCAGCCTTCGTCAACAACAAAAACCTTACTCTCTCCAAGTCATCGATCTCCGTCAGATTAACATTGAAATCATCAGCTTCTTCAATTAGTTTATTCACTAAATCGATGTAATGATCGTATTTGTCAGTGTAATCTATGGCACTTATCAAAAACTGCGAACAGCGCTTACGCCAATCCCCAAGACGTTTCACATAATTCTAAAAAAAGTCACTGGTTAAAACTGATACTTTATTTTACTTTCGAAAATCTAATGACCTTGCAAGGTCTCACATTTCTATTTTTAGCTCTTCTCTGGAAGGATTAGTTTTTACGAGCGAAAACGAAACTCTAACCTTCTCCAAATGGTATATTGAAAACAAAACTAAAATTTCATTTCCAGCAAATTATAAATCAAGTTAACTCTCCAATATAAAACATACGGATGTACAAACCTTAACGATGAATTCTAAATTAAGTATAGTACACGGGAGTTCCTCGATCGATTGTTCTAGTTTCTCAATATCTTTAATATCGGCTGGACATTCATTTGCATGCTTTCGTAAGTTGTTTCTAAATAAGGACAGCAATAAAAAACATATCAAAATATTCCATTTTATCCTTCAAAAGCAAAAACAACAGAATAAATTTAATATTCAACTAAGGCATGCGTTGAATTTAACGAGTTATCGAATTCGAGATCAAGTATCAAAAGAAAAAGATCTGGAATAAACGGCATGCTTTCTAACCTAAGTTGAATAACAGAACATCGTTTTCTATAATGTAAATGAATGTTTATATGTTGTCAGGCACTAGACCTTGTACGTATACGACGACTCATCAGTGCACGCGCACTCTGCATGATATTCTCAGCACGTTTTATAATATTCATGGCCTCATCAGTAGCATCACATTGTGGGAAGTGTCGCGCTTTTGAAACACTAACCAAAACACGAAAGTCGTCTATTGCTGAATATTGAATCATAAGTTTATAAGTGATATCACAATAAAGTATTACTTCCTACTTTTTAGACTCCACTTAAGCATTTTAAGCATATTTTTTGTCAATAAATTACTTTGTTTGTAAATAAGTCATTTAAAAAGCATTGAACTATGCACTTGATTTGAAGAATTAATGTGAAGTGAAATTAAATAGGTTATAAAAGTATAAGAGCCCATTATGGCAGATGGAGGAAAACATACTCGGCTTAACATCACCATTTTTTGTGTTGATCGCTGACAAAAGTTTGGATCTCCAGGTAGTATAGTCACAGATTCCATATGACAGCATTTTACACATGTAATTTAGTTCTTGTGCAGTGTAACGGTAACTGTAAATTGTTATTAATTTATCAAAACCACGACATGAAACTTTGCCATCACGACTTAGCAAAATTAACTTACTCATCCTGAAACTGAGACATTTAAAACAGCGTCAAGCTGGAACATATTTCGATCATTTTTTACTAAATTTATTTGAGCACTTACTATTAGTTTTGGCTTAGAAGTCATCAAACGAATACAGCTCAATTTCTAAAAGTTTACTTGAAAGTAAGATCTGTCGTTTGGCACACTGAACAGATACGATCTATATGCTCCAAACATACAAGTCTTTTGTGTTTGCAGGTGAGTGATGACATAAACAATGTTGTCTTGCAAACAGTACAAGAGCGAAAATCGTCAGGAATATGTTCATATTCAACACGTGCCGATCTGCAAACAAATCATCACGTCTCTATAAAATTTTTCACAAATTTTAAATTGTAAAAAAGGAATATTATTTGCAATTTATATTATTTACTCCACCAAAACTATCAAATATATTAGATTATCCACTGCAATGCGTCTCTTAAATGTTATGCAATACATAAATTGCACACACATAGTTTCTTCTAAAGGTTTCCATCCAGCCATTTCTTCAATTCATTTTTCTTACTGATTACACTTCTATAACTTCGAGCGTTTGACATTAGTGAATCAATATATGGAGTTTTTTAGGTATGTCCAAACATTCTCAACAATTCAACAATCCTACTGCGCTTTCGAACCATTGTGCTTTCCCTCTTCAATAATGCATGCGTATCGAATTTCATAAATAGTTCTCAATCAGAAACATAATAAACGTACTCAGTGACGCCTTTATTAGTAATATTTTCTCGAAGATGTTTTTCTCGTACAACAATTTCATACAGTTCCTCTTGTACAGCCTCACCAACGTTTACACTCAGCTCCGTAGCACACTTTGCCATTTTTACCATCAGTTCCTCGTGTGAAAAAACGCAATTACGATGAACACGAGCATACTCCAGGATACAGAAACGACCTTTGCGCAGCTGCAAACAATTGTTACTAATCTACATCAAATATTAAAATATAACATATTAATGACGCAAAAGTACACAAAAAAGGAATGAAACTGTACAGCATAGAGACTAAGATTTTCATTTCATTATTTACATCCATTTTACCTCCTGAAATAACAATTACATGCTTTCAATTAAATTAACTTCTTGGCTCTGTGTGCCCCATCTTCGACGATTAGTCTTAAACAACTCCTCTTCAAAACATATACAACAGTAAGTTATTCAAAATGAAAAGAGATGCATCATGTAAAGTATTGTTCACTAAACAGCAGCAAATTTAAGTGAATGAACCAAGTAGATGCAAATTTTACCCAATCTGCAGGCGCAAAATTCACAGCTTCTGCAAAATTCAGTCCCTCGTTATATCCTGCATGATAGGAACGTGGAAACGTTATCACAAATTCGCCTGGCTCCTGATGAACTGTATAAACGTGAATACCCTAAAAGTATTAAAATCTTATAAAACACGAAGAATTCATGAACCGAATCGGACAATGCAGCTTCTCACTTTGAAACCTCATTTCAAAATTCCTGAAGGAAAATCATATGCATTATTAAAAGTTATACATCTCACCTTGTTTATAAGAATTTGAGGATTCATTGTTGTTGTCATGTGATGCAAAACATCAGGTTGGCGTTCAAATAAATATGGAACAAGCTCCATCATTACTTTGTCGAATTGCTCGCCTTCATCGCCAGAAACACCATACCAGATCTTACGCTCACCCCTGAAAGAGATAGCAAACATTTCTCACGACCCTTGGTAAGATTGGAAAAAATTCAAGCTGTTCGAAAATACAGTGAACGTACGAAGTATTAGCGGCACAAATCTAATAATATTAAAGTCTTTACAATATAATAAAGGTTACAATATAGCGAAACGTACCAGTGCAAATAGTTGACGCTGTAGGTCCAATGATCCTCCGTATGCCAACAAAAAGCACTCAGACACATACCTACATAAACCCACGGTACCATCATACCTAAACAACAGATGTATTCTTGAAAAAGAGATGACAATTTAACATGGCCTACAAATGCAGAGACAGAAAAAATAGGTTATACCGGATATTCCAGTTTCCATATGGCTCAGAACAGAATCTTTCAATATCGGCAGATTGTTGAGGTTCCATGGATGATTTGCATAATGTTCGCGTTCCTTGGGATCTATTTTTCCTCCGAAATCACGCCCATTCATTGGAAAACCACTGCCTACCTTCAATTTTTTTTAAATTCAATCTACGGATTATTTCATACTGAAGAGAGCAAAAAAGGATACCTTAGTGACTGCAAGATCTGCACCATACTTTACAACTACAGTATTTTCGAGATCAATTACATTTTTCCAGAATTCTTGCTCGACTTCTTCACAAGGCACTTCCTGAACACAAAGATCTTGAGGCATATATTTTGCAAAGATAATGTTTTAGGTAGCATATACAGCAAGACATATAATGTCATTATCACTTATTTCCATCTCCATGAACAACGTTTGGGTTAATCCCGTCTGAAACGCCAAAGAAAAAATCAAAGTGATCTGATATACTGTTCCTCTAGCTACCATATATAATCTCATTACTATCTGTTTAATTTCAGGAAAAATAATGCGACATGCCAGCGGATCTTTATGAAAATGGTTTTGCTTCCAATCATTTGCATATTTAGCAAATGTAAGCAAGTTATAGCTGGTATGTGCATCGTGAAATGCATAGCTTTCTGCAATCTCTTTGATTGAAGCCAACAAACATCGACGGCAACGCCATTCAGCTACAATGTTATTGGAAATTAGCATGAAAAAAATGAGGGAACTGATACTGAAAAAGTAAAAAAAGAATTTTCTTTATTTTTATTTTATTAAATCGATAAATATAAAGAATTCCGGAATATTGTCTGCAAATAAAAAAGCAAACATCGCGGGACACTTGGCAGTGGCGGTGAACAACAGTAAGTGTGCAATGCATAATCGCAATCCTCGCACATCAACAAATGCTCCTCATCATCACCCTTTCCGCATTTTCTGCATACAACTTCATCCATCGGATCTGATGTTCTTGTCTTCTTCTCCTCTGAAAAACTGCTATAAATTTCCATGGAGAACTATTTCGTAACAATCGACAAACATTCCAGATCTTATATAAATAAATTCCACCTTTTCGACTCTTCTACCAAGTCTTCCATCCACCGCTGAGGATAAAAAAGCTTCCTAGTTTTGATATTCTGAAACTTAAAGAGTGCACAATTACCTCGGAGTCATGAAAAACCTCCCACTTGTCCTGGAACATATATTGAAGAAATAAAATGTAAAATGAAACTTTGTACCGCTAATCAACATCTCGTGAATGTTCTGACTCGCACAGCTCTCATAAACAGCTCAACTGTTAATTACAAAGCAATTATACAAATAAGAAAGAACTATTAAAATGACTTACTCGCATGAAAACGAAGTCCAGCCATTGACTTTGTTCTTGGTTGAGGGGTTCCTCTTCTTCCATATTCTGCGTGCCCATTTTCAGTACCGTCCGTTGTGCTGCTGCAACCGTCATTTTTATTTTCTTCATCGTCTCCATTCTCCTAAAACATTATGACAGAAATTACAAAACCACTTCTACAACATACCTTAACTTTATGATGAATATTGAAAATGTGAGCATTTCATCATGCATCCAGTTATAATTTCAGAATTTCCGTATTCGTAAAATGCTGTTACATGCACTTCATGTAAACTCGATTCTTACGATGACAGCATGGAAAAAGAATTTATGAATTTTCTAAACTCTACACCACTGGAAAAAAAATCGCACAGTTATGCAATGAATTTCCTTCGCTTTTAAGATAATGCAATATCATACATTAATAAGTTTTTGAAAAACGTCAATCCATTTGAAATAAAGAATTTTGATTTTATTAGCACGTTGCTGTTTGAATCCAAGTTTTTTTGTTATATAACCCCATCGCTTCTGAGTATTTACAGCATCAACGCCTCCGATTTCCATTACAGCCTGCAAATCCAATTTGGAAAATACATTTTATATCATCACATGAAATCATCATATGATGATTTTAGAACTATATAACTTATTTATTTCAGTATCATAATATATGGTAATGGAAAGAAATAAGGAAAAAGTCAAATAATATTTAAAATCTTTAAATTCATTCTTCATTAAAAAGTACTCTTTACAACTAATACAGACAAACAAGCAATCTAACATGTCACAAAATATTCCACATTCTTCGTAACCTGAGAGAAAAATGGATGCGTTTAGTACCACAAACCTTGTAAAGATCGTAAAAATCGACATATTTGTTGTCAATATTTGGAACTTCAAATGTATGTCCCTGCATATGCCAATAACTGGCCAACTGTGCATCGAATATCAGTCTTGCCCGTGTTAATGCATCAATTTGATTCAGCTTTTGAATGCGTGGTGTAAAGTTAAATTTTTCACTATCGATGGCGAAAGGTGGTCGAAATGACTAGAAATAACTACATTAATATATAAAACTAAAAAAAATTTTTTAAAAAAACTTGTTTGCATGTTTTAATTCCATCCACTTCTTATCCGGAAGAGATTGATTTTGTAAGGAGTCTCTAAAACTGACAAATGTGCGACCAGATTACACAGTCAGAGTGATACGGCTATGACTAATCCTCAATTGATTTGGCGAACTATCGCAAAACCACTGCTTGATCTCTGAAGCCATTCCACAGAATAGAGCTTTTATAATGATTGATCATTATTCATTTTACGACAACTAGCTACATTCTTAGAAAAACAAGCAAACTGAATCACAATTGAAGCAAGACCATATTTTTCATCAAGAAGTTTGTTATAAGGAATTCTCCCATAAGAAATCTATTTTCCAGAATAGATTTCTTATGGAAGAACTCCTTCATTTGGTGGTACGAGGATGACAACGACAAGAAAGTATCAAGAAAGTATCAAATTACGTCGAAGTAAACTCAACAGGATAACTTGACGGCTGATATCTCACGAACTTTTTAAAGTTTTTTGACAAAATGATCTTTTGACTTTTGATAAAAGGAACTTACAGGAGGAGGTTTGACTTTTATCACACCATACTTCTCCGCTTCAAGTTTAATCTTTGCCACATATGAGATTGGATCGGCAAATTCTTCCTCCGTTGGATAGAATGTTGGTGCAAACGGTGGTCGCTCAAATTCAGTGTAATATTTGGAATAGTTTTTATGCATGTTCAGAAGTTTGCATATATAGCTGCGTAAATTCAGAATTTATTGTACAGTACCATTACCTAGAAATATGCTAATGTCGAAAATCGCCACATTATAGTTCAAGTCTGACAAACATAACGTTTTTCCCCAAAAAAAGCAAACTATCAAACTATAATATAATCGGAAAAATGTCGAAGCAAATGCATTATTTCAGGATTAGAGAATATGGAAGCTCTGAGAAGCCCCATTTTTCATAAGAAAGATGAGGAAAATATGCAAAATTTTAAATAGCGAAAAAATACATAAATTCCAGGCCATGCTCTTCCTCTACCTCATCACTTCTACTTCGGATTATAAGCAATTGTATAAGTTAGCATTTTTGTCGAAAGAGCGTGAAAACATTGTGTAAGATATCATCTCCATCTTCACTACGACTCCTTTACTTTATTGCCAATAATTTTAAAAATATTCATAAGATCTAATTATTTAGTACATTTTAATGCAGCTTGAATGCCTGCCTGATACTGCTCATTTTTAATCCTATGAATATTTTTTAGAATGATTATGTGATTCCCAAAAATCCACCAGAACCGACAGAATAGTTGCAGAAATATTATTTCGTTATTATATATCAGTTTGAAGCATTCTCTCGACTTTAAATGAATTTAAATTAGGATTTCCAAATTTTCCAAAATGTCAATCAGGGAAGCTTTTTTGAGGAAATGCAACATTCACAAACATTTCTCATAGAAAAACTTTTTATGCATTTCAAATAAGAAAAAAGTTGACAAATTTATTAAAAGGATTAAAAAATCGGAAAAATTAAGTGTAAGCACGAAAACTGAAAAGTCACCCAGAGAAAACACGGCTAAATGAAAAGCAAATCGCAGATTATTCCGTTATGAACAATTATTCTGAAATTACAGGAGGAAAGAAAGGAAAGATCCAATTCTATGAAAAATTAAACAAATAAAAACAAAATACAGTTTATGCCATGCAGAATGTGAAAGAAGTAATATCAGCATAAACCATGGGTTGAAGGTCAAAGAGCATGGAATCGATAAATAGATAATGTCACGTAAACAGAATCAGGATATACTGTGGTCTCGTCTCCATCCTATAGTAATATCAGTATAAACCATGGGTCGAAAGGTCAAAGAGCATGGAATCGATAAATAGATAATGTCACGTAAACAGAATCAGGATATACCGTGGTCTCGTCTCCATCCTATATACTCTCATCGAGAGTCCTCAATTTATGGAAAGGTGATGGAAGGTTATCTAGGTGCAGGAAAACAGGTATTCAGTGATATGAAAAGGTTATTTCCAGTGAAATTTATGAAATTATATCGGACTTCATTGTGAAATTTGGAACCTTCATGCTGTTGTCTAATTACATTATTTCTTTTCAGTGATTATTTTCCCATTACAGATGCTATATGAACTATTCAAATCTTGTACAGTTGCCGATGAAATCTCCACTATATATATCGCATCAGCTCATGGAACCTAAAATAATTTGTATCTCTCCTGATTGCAATGGACAATGTGAGGCTATTTCACTTGAACAATTCGTAGCAACATCCTATGATTTTGCCTTTCTTAAAAAAATTTCGTTAAAAAAAATTTTTTAGAACCTTCTTAAAAAATAACCTTTCGTCCTTCGTCAAAACAGCTGACAAAAAAAAAATAAAGTTCGAAAATATGGTGTGGCCATGCTAGGGTGCACAAGAATTGTTGTTCGGGTTCACGCGAAGCTAACACTTAAAGTTTACTTAAACAACGTCGAAAGAAACGTCACGAAAAAGCATAAACGAATTCCTTTTCAACGGAACAAGAAAAAGCACCGCAACACACGATCGCACCGTATGAAGATAATCAACCAAATGAAGTAAAACTGGAGAATTGAGAACATAGAAATACAATTATGCAAATTTCCTAGAAATGCGTAGTGATGCCACTGCCAAAAATATCACTCTAAGCGCGTTCCTTTTGCACGTCCGTTTGCTCATACGCACGCGAAGAGAGATGCAATCCAGAAGCGAATCGATAATTTAATAGAAGATATATGAAGAGGTCCGGAATAAAACTTCATCCCCGTTAGATTTGGAAAGAACTTCCCATGCCACCTATCACCCGTTTCAGCTAACCGGTTGATTTTTTTAGCAAGTCGTACTAGAACCACCTTAACAAGCATTAATTATTACACGAGAACTTTTCGGACGACCTGTTTGTTGCTGCATAGATATTTTTTGTCTATTATGTTGCAGTTCATGTAGTCTGGTCACTTCGTTAGGTCATTTGTATTTGGTCAGTGTACATTAATGGTGGTCAAATCATTTACATCAGTGACATGGAATTGATCAATTTAGGCAGTTAATTCTTTCAAATATCTTTGCATTTTCATTAGTTTAAATGGTTTGCGTTATTGAGAATATATTTTTAATTTAGAAACTTATGGGTGTTGTCAAATTTGTGTCATTTCGACGAATTTCGTATCTTGCTCTTACACTTCCCTTTAAATACATTTTAAATCGTTATCACTGTTATTGTTGCAGTTCAACTTGTTATTTCTGGATCGTTGAAGGATATCGAGAATACAGTACTGTGAGCTACACTTGAGAGGACTACGATGCCAGTAAGTGATTTGTATCTGATCTCATCAGAAAAAAGCGTCGGATGCAATATGCTAGGCACTGATATTGGCTTTTAACAGACGGAGAATTACTGTGTGCTAAAAGCAGAGCTGAAAGCAAACCTGTAACATGAAGTTTCCGTTAAGTTTGGATGTAAATCTAAGAGTTGAGACAATGTAATGATAGTTTCGGTTCATTATCCTCTATTCATTTTAAATTCACCTTGTATTTGTGAGTCTTTTAGTTTCCTCGAACTATCTAGCGAATTATTCAATACTGCGAAATATAAAGAATTATGTGAGGGCATACCAAATACATTAGCATCCCAAAAACACGCAATCTCCAGATGTCAATTAGCTGGAATAAAATTTTACTTTCCATCGTTCTAATAAATTTTATCTATAGGAGAAAGAAGAGACTGCAAGAAGGAAAAAGGAATCGATCGTTGACTTATCACGATTTATTGATAAGAAAGTACGCGTGAAATTTCAAGGAGGTCGGGAAGGTTGCTGTTTAAAGATTTTTTCTTATCTTTAACGTGATGTTGCGCTTCATCTTTAATGCTCATCATATTCTCTTTATAGAGCGCAGCAATACGTCTGATCTATGAGATTTCTCGTTCTCGTAGTTTAAAGACTCATTGTGTTCATTCATTACATTTGTTCTTTTTTTGTATTTCAGTATTCTTATTTCTGCTACATTTTGATTTTAGTGCCATTTAGCGAGATTATATTTACTAATTTACGGAGTTTCATTGCAGCGTCTGGAATACTAAAAGGCTATGATGCTTTAATCAATTTGGTACTGGACAATGCTGTAGAGTACGTGCGAGACACGGAGGATCCACAGAAAATGACAGAGGTTAGTTGCAGTTTCGTACCTCACTGGTTCTCCTCCCTTCTGTATTGCTCAAGTTTTCAATAAGACTGTTGGATTGGATACAGCTTTTGTGTAGTAATTAAATAACATTCATTTTGAATGGTTGATTACTAATTTTTTGGTTAATGATAAGTTCTTATGATAATTTGATCCTTATTTCAAGGAAACAAGGCAATTAGGTTTGATTGTTGCTCGAGGAACTGCGATAACAGTTGTTTCGCCGAACGATGGCATCGAGCAAATTGCCAATCCTTTCGTATGATGATGGTCACTTAACATGAATAATCCTGGATCAGTTTTTAAAGCTCGTTTCTAATTTTAATCAGTCAACGTAATTTTCAGTTATTCTTCCCTAATTTCGTAATATTATTAATTTTCTCCCTTTGCTGAACTTTTCATTTGCAAATTTGAGAGGTAATTTTTGAGCGGAAAACTCGTTTAAGCAGTAGCTCACTAACATTTTTTTTCCAAACGAATTACAATGTTATGATCTTTTCGACTTTCTCTTTCCCTTTTAATTTTCCTTTACAAATCTCTTCATTGAAAAGTATGATTGTGTGCAATCAAAAGCCAGAATTATAGATATTTATCTTGTGCTATCAAAAATCAGATTGTAAATATAAATTACTATTTTATTTTCAAATTCTGTTTTGTTGAAATTTAATAAATTAATAATTTAGCAGAGTGTATAAAATTAAAAATGAAGTGCGTTCTTTTTTGGCACAGCAATAGAAAATGAGGATCATTTTGTTTGTTGAAAATGATGAAAGGGAAAAGCATCGCTTACGAAATTATCCTTCTAAAGCAGGATGTTGTGGACATTAGTGACTCATGTATAGGAAAATAATATTTTGAAAAAACGATGAGTTGTACATATATGCTCTCTTTGTACACCGAAACATTAGACCTTCAAATATGTGAAGGCATTTTTTCATCGCTGATTTGCTTGTTCAACCTTCATTTTGCGCCAGGAAAAAGTTGCCAGCAATTGGATCACCTGGAATGTGGGAATAGAACGTTGCTTAATGAGGAATGAATTTTGTTTCAAGTTTTCGGTAGAGTGTTTTCTGTAGAACTGCGCGTAAACTTCAATGGCACTTTGCATTCTTTCAGTCTCTCCCTACAGATTTGTATCCAGAATTCAGCTATAGAATCATACCTAACTTATGTTTTTCAACAAATTGCTTCGTGTTGAATTTAGCTCTGCTGTTGATTTTCGGCACTTGTATTCGCCGTCCTTGATGTTCATATAGGAGAATTATGTAACGGTGTAAATCGGTACGAGGTTGTGGTGCAGGACTTCCATATGCCATCTGATGTTGTCCTGAATGATGAAATTATTTTTTAGAACGAGCATCCGCAAAAATCATTTCAAACTGAGCAATATAAATTAACCTCCATTAATGCCTTCCTGAATATTGCTTGCGGGGATATTCACTACCTAAAATATAAAACATGAAAGATACTTTAAATACGAATGGAGTTTCAAAATTATGGGAATTTCTTTTTAAGTTTAAAATTTCAGAATTCAGGTTTTAAATCAATTGCATTATACTTATGTTGATGATCATTCCAAAACCCGCGAGCCAAATTCGCAAAAATGAGATGCATCCGATAGTTTTTTGGAAATAATCTTGCAATGCAGTTATTTAACGTGAAAACAAACCAGCCAATGAAGCCATTCAGCAACGGATGGATTCTTTCGTGACAGATTATCAGGATCTGAAATTTTTTGACTCATTGATTCGGGAATTTCTTTAGTCTAGAACAATAAAATCTAGGGACTTTTATCCTCTAAAGAATGCATATTTGATAAAGACAAAATAGCAAATTCAAATCGGTCCGTAATCAAACATTTTGAATAAACTGAACTTTCAATCAGATTTAGAAGCTCATTAACACTGATTTGTGACAAATTTGAATACCAGAAATTGCTTGAAATTGCAAAAATCTTGAAATATACGAAAAGCAAGACCAAACCGATCATGATCATGGAAAATGTCGATTCTGGATCAACATCCAAAGTAACACGTGGTGCAAAGCGAAGATTCCGTGGTGACATCGTTTGACCAGGTTGAACTTGTATACCATCCCAGTTACACTGCAAATAAATGCAATAGAGATTAGAACTTGAATTTGAATTAATTTCTTCATAGTTCATTTTAGTTTAACTAACATTCATCAATCATACAACATAGATAGTCATATCTTATCAATATATCTCGATAAAAAATAACAATTTTCATTAATCATAAGCCTTCAAAATAATTTTTCATTCACTTATTCTAATTGTTTATAAAAAATGAAAATAAATTAAACTTAAAAAAAAAATTGATAAGTTTATAAAATAGAATGTGACACAATATGATACCTTATGTAAAGGTAACAAAATATCTTTTCAACTGTTACCAAACAATCTATTTTTACTAAGTAAATAAAACTTACTTATATTAAAACAAAAAAGAAAATAAAAAGAAATATTTAAAGGTTTTTTTTTTTTAATGACAAAACATAAAAATATGTAATTAATTAATTGAGCAACAAAAGCATTTAATCTTTGTTAAAGTTTGATAAAAGTAAGATATTGTGTAAAACTAATTATTCAATCCTTGCCATTAATTTTACTATCTTTTCAAGAAAAGAGAGAGGGAGAGAGAGAGAAAGAAAGAAAGACATACAAATAAAAAAAATAATTTTTATGAAATTTCATCAAAACATCTCTCTTATTAATAAATTGTGTTGAAAATTGTAGTAAATTTACAAAAACAATTGAAAATCTTGAAATTTCAATTATTTTTTGATTAAAATTGAAAAGAAAAAAAAGAAAAAAACATTTCTGAAAATTTATCAAATTTTGAAATAGAGAAAAAAAGGAAAAATTGCAAAGAATTTCTGTAACGAATAGATTTCAATACTGTAAGTAACAATTTGAAAAAAAGCATTTTTGGAATTAATTAATGTGAGAGAAAAAAAAGAGGGAAAAAAAGGTCTAAAATAAACTTACATTAAGTAATTTTGCTGGTGGATTTGCGATAATATTAGGTGTAATTTCATTTTCTGCGAATTTTGCCGCAATATCAGCCATTTTGTTGGTAATGAATTATAAGCGATATTGTCTTTTAGCTATCGAATCACTAAAAACTTTGAGGTTTAAATTAATTTTCAACATGATCACATGTTATTTCGTCAGACAACTAAACATCTACTACACTTTTCGTAGGAAAAGGCTGTAGAGCTTTATTGTTAAGATATTTTGGATGATTGCAATACACACTCAAACATTAATGCACTCAAACACACACACACACACACACACACACACACACGCACGCACGCACGCACAGATGTAGTTAGTTCAACTTTTTGAAAAGTAAAGCAAAACACGCAAATATACATATCCATCTATCTATCCAAACTATGTCTGTTTCACAATGTGTACCCGTCAATGTTTTTACTATTACAATGTTATCAGTTGAAAAAAAAAAAGAAAGAAACAGTTGAAACTTTCGAGTAAATAAATTTCAGGAAAGCATTTACGGAAAATAAACCGGAATAATTGAACATATATAAAATACTATACAATTCATAAATATTTTCACTTTTTTTTGTAATATTTTTCATTTATCTTCACTTTCATTATTACTTCAACAATCCGTTTTGCTGTAAAAATATGTATCGATTGAATTTTTAACAAAAAAACAAAAAGAATTTTATCTCAACATACTTTAAGTTAATTATATGATATCATCACAAGAGAGGTATGAAAGAGAAAATAATTGATAAGAGTTGATAAATATAATTTTCCCACATCTAATCAATCATGAAATTTAATTTGGAACATAATTTTAATGAATTAATATTCAAAAAAAAAAAAAGTGTAAGAAATGTTAAGAGTATTGAAACAATACCAATATGTTTTCAACAAATAGGAAGAGTATTTAATCTAGAAGTTTCTTCAAAAACTTTTTTTCAACAAAAGTTATTAGTAATGGGCTATTTTTCTTAGCGAAAACAAAAAGTTGTTCGTTGTTATTTCGGGGTGATTCATCGATAAGATTTGATTAATTTTACAAAAGCTGATTTTGTAAAAAAAAAAAATACGCTTAAAATAGAAATTTTACAAAGTTGATTTTGTAAATTGTTGCTTATAGATATATAAAAAATAATGAATTAATTATAGTAGAATGATTTTTCTTTTTGTTTTAAATTTCAATAATTGGTGATAACTTTATTTAGTAATTAAACCATTCATAGATATGATAATAATCTTTGGTTAATGATAAGAAGAAGAAACAGAAAAAATGAATTTTCTAATATTTCGGAATGCATATTGTAGTGTATTTGAAATATGAAATAAAATTTTCTATCCCTCATTTAACCAATCAATAATAAATTTGTTAGATTTAAATTATAAAATCAATTTAATTGGTAAATTGAATTTCAATTTATAAAGATTGCTTATTTGAAAATGTAAAAAGGTTTCATTCTTTGTAAACTTTAGAGATATTATTATATATTTTTTTTAATGAATCATTTCAGCACTTTAACAATACAGTGCTAAAGTAATACTTTAGCACTCTATTAACCTAAATGGAAGAATGTTGAAAAGTTCTCATATTACAAAAGAGATAAAAAAAAAATGATACGGAAGGAAATTATAATTTTGGATTGATTTTTACCTTCATTATTGATTTAGAAATCAAACGACGATACTTACCTGACAGAAAAATAGCCTTAATAAAATTTCAGGACTAAATTAAACAACTCTGTTAAAGGTGGTAAGAAATGAAAATGGATTGATTTAAACAGAAGGTAAGTCTCAAAAAACTTTTATTCTGCTTTTTATTTTTTGCATTTCTTTCAAGTACATTCTACGACAATATATTGTTGATATTAAGAATCATTATTGACAACACATTCTAATTCACTCACTTAACATTCATCATTTTGATATATATACTTAACATTCATCATTTTGATATAATTCACTCACTTAACATTCATCATTTTGATACCTTTTAAAAACCAAATCATATATTTATATAGATGATAATATTAATTTGTTCATATTTCATTCATGTTTTAGATCAAAAATAATTGATTTGTAGTGAGAATGTGAATGATTAAAATTATTGGATATAGACGATAGGATATTACGAGTGGATAGAAACTATTAAAATACAAATATCTTTTTATTTAACTATAAACAGTACCTGGCAGTACCTACATAATATATTAGCAAATAAAAATACCTAGTCAAATAATGATTTTCAAGATTTGCTTAATATATAACAGAGAAGATGATAGTTTAGTTTATCTATGTAAAAGGTTTAGTTTACAGAATAAATTCAGGAAGATGTTCCTTTTTTTCACAACAATATTTCTTATCATACAACTACCATCTACAGGTACTAATTAACTAATCTTAAGAATTTTTTTACAGATACTAATTAACTAATCTTTAAAAATTCTTTTTCATTATTTTTCCTTTTTGATTTATCACAACGATTATTATAAATTTTCTTTTTAGTTTCAATTTAAATTAGTAAAAAATGGACATTTTTGATTGCTGTTATTCAAGATATTTATTTTACATAAACTTTTTATAATAAATTTTTAAATTGAAATTAAATTTTTAGTTACTCAGCAATGGGGATGTATCTTTTGCTTCTTTCCATATTATCCACAACCATATCCATATTTTTATCCACCAGTTATTACTCCTCCGACATTTTTTCCTTCTTATCGGTGTAAGTTATTGTTATTATTATTATTATTTTTTCTTAATTATATAATGATAAATTTGTTAATATTTTTTAAATGAGAAAAATAAAATTTAATGAAAAATTTTCAGCTATTGGTCCATGTGTAAATGGTCGATGTCCAGCCGGATATGGCTGCTATAATTCACAATGTATTGCCGTGTCCAATTCTTGCAAGTGTTTCAGTTATATTTATTAAACAATTAATTCAACATTTTATTATATTTATTTGAATTGATAAAACGAAAAAGTTTCAAAGTTATTAAACGTATAGATTTATAATATATTTTTTTTTAAATGAATTAATTACTTGGAAATAGGATTATATCATTTAAGAGTTAAATTTAGAGGGAAAATTATAGAGTTATAACGTTTAAATGATACGTCAATTTGGTTTGTATTAATTAATAGCAATTAGAGAGGTATCGTTATAACATTCACATGAAGCAATCAAATTGCAAGATAGCACTTTCCTTCTGCTTTAATACACAATCCTTAAATTGTTTTATTTTTTTGTCACAACAAAAATATTATTTTTAGAAATTTGCAATTTCAGATGGGCCATGTGTCAACAATCAATGTCCAATGGGATTTTGCTACAATGGTCAATGTGTGGGATAAAATAGAATTGGATTATGATGGCTTTTGCATGTATACTGTTTGTTGGAAGGATTTCATCCTGTTCTTTTTACTTCATCCTATTTTATTCTAACTGCCTTTTAAAATAAAATTTTTTTTCTCGCATCAGAACAGATCAATAATAAATGTAATCGTATAATTACATAGATATAGGCATTTTACTGAATGTATATTTTGAGGATTTCGATTATTGACCGATTAAATGTGTCTTTATGATAAGGAAAAAATTTCAGTGTATAAGTTTTAGAAATTATTATAAACGGTCATAGCTCGTTGCTAAATTCTTCGAATTACCAATGGCCATAAATTTTAGGAATTTCACTTTTATCTCATTGCTGCTGATTCAGTACGACTTTCATGATTCCAAAATGAATCCATTCGGATTATAATGGAGGTATTTCACAGTAAATGGGTATATAATCTGTTTTGCAAAAATTCCAAACTTAGTATCTAATTGGAAAAAAAAAATTAGATATCGATCGTTTTGAAATTCTTTGTGCTACATTCTAAATATACCATACCTCTTCAGTCATGCTAATGAATCAAACATTCATCAGCATGTAAAATAATACAAGGGAAAGAAAAAGCAATCATTAAAAGCATAATTATAAACTTGCGATCCTTTCCCAAATTAGCAATTCAAATGAAATGCTCATTGCAATGACCAAAACTTCCAACCTGATTTACCAAAATTCCCATCCAATTTTTCTTGAACCACACATTTCAACATTTTAATGAAAAAAAGTTTTATAGAAAGATGAATAATCTGACTTACTTTTCCTTTTCGTAACAATTTAAATGGATAAAGGAAAACAAGAGTGAGTGCATTTAGTTGCGGCAACAAATATTCCCGTATTATCCATAAAGAGTAAAAGTAATTTAGTGTAACAGTAAGCTGAAACTTTCTGACAAGTACTTGAACTTCATTTTAAACTTTCAAAGCTTTCAGTAAATATTGACATCAGTCAGAGCAAATAAAAATGGCGTTAAACACTTGTGAGAGAGAGAGGAAGAGAGACACACAAACATCTCTTATGAACTTGTACTAATTAAGAAATTAAGGAATAAGGTCGAAAAACGAAAAGTAGTCATAATGTAAAACACTGCTGCCTGAGAGGTCCAAAAATTAAAGAGAAATGGTGCCAAGAAATCTTCTCTAATAGCAACAATCAAATATTTTCCTGACAAAAAAGTTGGACGAATTACACTGATTAATGGTTTATTTAACCTGCTCCATCTACTTCCGTTAAACTACCAGTCGAACCTTCTTCTGCAAGCATAGCAAATGCAACAGTGAAGTAGATGAAATAATTGATAAGAGAAAATGAAATCGGATAACAAATAACAAAATAACTGATTTATCGGATGAATTCATATTCTTCTTTTTTGTTTTTCATTGTTGAGCTCTGGTACTCTTTTTATGCTCGATATATTTTTTTCCACCATTTGCATAATAAGACACATAGTAAAAGCGTATCCAAAGTATCAGATATGTCACTTCCATCAAAGTGCCAAGCGCAAAACCTCGCAACGTGACGGCATAGTTATTTGCTGTGGTGAGAGCAAGAATAGCCAAATGTATCATCACTACATGTGTTATGGCAAACTGTAAATATTGATGCATATAACATATTGGAATTTTGTTATGAGTATTTATTAATAATTCAACAAGAAAAAAGTTCCGGAACAAATAGGTGTTCTTCCACTGCCTTTATGTTTTAATTACAACAATTTACATTAAGATCTGAAAGATATATAAGTAGTTCTGAAATAGTGAAAATGTTAACATGATGAAATAAACAAACATAGCAAACCTGAATGATCTGACCAAAGGTTATAAACTGGGCGACCTGTGGTGGGACACGTATACGAAGCGATCGTAGCATGTAATAACTGAAAAACAGGGAAATATGAATGAATAGAAATTTAATTAATCAGCATTGAAAATTACACTACTCTTTCGACTTTGATTCTCTAAACTATCTACCTGTACATGAAGGAATGCACGATGAAATTGAGCCAGACAACCCAAATCATATAAGCATTTTTATTGGCATATGTAACAATTGCGAAGTATCCCGTAAGCGCGTGATGGTACCAATGCATCAGCATTAATGGACGTTTCCTCAATACGATAAATATCGTATCCAGAAGTTCCGGGATTTTTGAGACAGTCCACAAGAAAGTCCAGTAACCAGCAACATTGTCAGTGAAGCACGGTCCTATTTCAGTGAAAGTACCTAAATGATAAACAAATTAAAAAATAATAAGAAATGATATTAAATAACGGTGTTCAGTAGCAATAGGGATAAGAAAAAGGAAATTGAAATTTAGCTCATACTTTAACTTAGCTTTATCTTCCGGAATAACATGAAAGTAAGGAATTGAAATCCTTTTGAATGACTGACAAAATGAAAAAATTGTTAACGCATAAAGAAGAAAGTAAAAAAAATGCTAGAAATGCTAATGCTAACTAATGTATCCTTTGGTGGCCATTTGTTTGAGAAAAACAGGCGTTATTTTAGCAACACCAAGAATGCTGAAAACAGCAAGCAAAGCATTCCAAATAACAAGTGGTTGTTGCAGATCATATGGTTTTCGATCACGCATCGCATATTTGATAACAAATATGGTGACCACATATGTTAGTGATATATTTATCATAGTCCATTCCATTTGTGATGCCCATTTTCGTGCTGGTTCAAATTCGAATTTTGATCCAAATATGAATTCCATTATACCCTTGATCGCTTGGTTTCTGCAAAAGGAAAAAACAAATCATTGATAATTATTTTTTAATAATAGCAAAAAATCAATAATGATAATGATAAAATTCAATCCAAATGAAACATTTGATCAATATATTATAAATTTAACAATTATCTCTATAAATCCACAGATCAACGATCATATCGCTCATTTAACTTCCACCTTTTTTCTTTCAAGTACTATTGATGATGTTTCAACAACATAACATTCGTCTAGGAAATGATGAGATGGAAAGAGAGACAGAAAGCGAAAAAAAGAGATACCTGTATATTATAATGGAAATATTTAAAGTGAGAAACCTAACTGCAAACACTTTTATCGTTTCTCTTTTTCCCCTTTTTTGTTTTAAAATATGTATGTATATATTACAAAATAAATTGTAACAAATGCAACGTTTCAGATCAATCTATCATACAGACAATATATATATATAATATAT